TTATTTGAACATTTTATTTGACTTTCGACGTCTATTGATTCCTGTATACCACTTTTTTTTTTGTTTAATGTTAAACAATTCGATGCGAGCGCACGCGGATCGGGTCTTGCGATCAGAGTCAGCATTGTTATGCCACTTATTTGATCGCGTGTTTTCTCTCAAAATTCTTAAGATTTAGATTTTTTACAAGTTTTAATAATTGTATTTCGAAGCAGAAGTCCGAAACAGTACTATAAATATAATACCTTGTATCAAATTGGTGTACTCTTTGCGACCCCTAAAATTCGTTGCCGCTTCCCTGTTTGATAGCGATCCCCAGTTTGCGATCCCAACCGTGAACAATGTGATAATGCTACAAGTTACTGATCAGAGGTAATTAGTCATATACTCCATGAAACAGTCATAAAACTACATTGGGTATTTTATTACTATTTTAATATTTGCAATTTGAAAACTACACCTGATATGCTATAAAGCATATATTTGAAATTTAATGTGAATCGCTGAAGAAATTTTCTTCGTCTAAATATTCTAAGTTTTGGATTTTATAAAATTAAATGTCGAAATTTACCCGTTACGTATTTTATTAAAACGTACGTATATTTTTGAAGAAAATATTCAGAAATGAGTGTTATTTTAAGAATACAAAATGAGGTACAATATGATACACTAACCTATCATTTTAACTAACTATCATTTTAACATAAGCATAGCTTTGCAGTGTCTCTGTCAAATAACATTTGTGTGAATTAACTGCCTGAAAATGCCATAGTTCAATAAAATTTAGTTTATTTCAAATTTAGAATTGGCTTACACAAAATCACGACATATATATTGATTTTCAGCGTTTTAAAACAGGACACCAAAAGAAATTCGTCAAGTGCCAGGTTTTCATCACTGAGTGAGATGGAGGCCTATCAAGTCTGAAGAGCAAGTATGTAACCAAATCATTTAAAACCTTCCAATTTACCTGTCTATAAATAAATGATATATTGTATTTATTTCGGGAAATCTACAGACAAATAATTACTTTTAATATATTGTGTATAAGCTTAGTTTTGTTTCGTCTGTCAAATGAAATTTTCTATAAATTACAACCTCAAAATTTCATCATAACATGATTCGCACAACTACCGTTTTATTCTGGCTATTGAGTCGGCCGAGTGAATAAGGCGCGGGTCATTTTTTAGAAATAAAATTTGGCTTTTTTCGTTCCCACCCAATAGTCGAGACACAATATTGCATTACATTAAATATGTAGTATATTATATATGTAGTATTTAGTATATTGGCTATTTCTGTCACACAATATTCAGTCCATGACAACGACAAGAATTTAAAATGTCTTTCTATTTTAATTTAATTGTGTTCATGGTAACTCGCGTAACTCGGTTGCGTCGACTTACGACAAGATGAAAGCATTACTTTTTCAAAATGCCACGGCAATCGGCGAAGATAATAATGTGCGAATATATTGCCCGATTATATTTAGTCCCGATACATATTTTTTGCGATCTTGCGAATATGTTATCGCCGTTAAGGAAATCCTACTTTCTGCTATAAAGTTCCAGAAAGTAGAACTTGATTTAGTATATATTAAAAAGATATTCGAAGTTTATTAGTAAATCAAAAATACATATTCATCGTCTTGCTTTACTATTAAGTTAATTGTGATGATTTTAATCTGCAATTGTGTTGACGAAATATCAGCAATCATACTCAGAAAATATCAAAGTGGTTAAGTGCCCGATTATATTTTTGATTTTGATTCTTATTTTTGTGAATTCGTCAAATCTGAGCTGTTCGTACAACACCTACGGCGCTACAGTACTGTACGTACCAATGTAGTGCAAAGAAAAGGGCCGATTATGCATCACTGAGAGAGGTGGCTGCCTCAGTCTAAAGATCAAGTATGTTATCATAATCTTTTGAATTTTCCTACATTCATCACCATTATTCACAGATCCCCACAATAAATTTTAAAATTGTTATCTATTACTATTCCTAAGTATGTTAAAATTACTTTACTTAATTTAAATGGTAAACATTTTTGATAGGCTTAATATCAGACATAAATAAATCTAAATTTCATAGATAAATTAAATATATTAAGGCTGTAAACTCAACAACCATAATATCAAACTTGAAGTCAAACATCCATTTGGTGTGTTTGGAATACTGAAAAAGTTCTAATAACGTACGCGATGGCATTTTGGTAGTATCGCCGATAGTTTTCGTCAGCGTGACGTGTTTTTATTTAAAACTTATGTGCTTATTCTTTCTGAATCACAAATTTTTCTTGGCATATGCATGTATTGTTCCACAAGGCCGACGATAACTTTTTTTTTCTTGTGCGTAATTATGAGTACTGTGTACGAAACAAGTTAGAATACTATATTATAAAAATCGGTGAAGAGAAGCTAAGAATAAATGATAAAGAGGTTAATCCGCAAAACAATTTCTTGATTGAAAAGCGGCATCATAAAATACTGGGACTAAAATCAAAAACGAAAGATATCACCATAAGTTTTGTTTTAGCAGTGTTGTAGCAGATTGAAAACGGTTTGAAATCTGGTTAGGTGTAATGTTAGGATTTCTTTTAAATGTGTACAACTATACAATATAGTAACTGAAATCGAAACACAGTAAATTGTTCGCGCAATGTAACTTTTGTCTATTTTAATACTAACGATGGAGCCCAATACGACTTTTTCGCGGTAAGTGACGATATATAAGATAATTAATTTAAAATATGTCGATCAATTTTTTTTGCAATATTTTAAATTACAATCGTTCGTATTTTGTCCATATCTTTAGAATAATTTTGAGTGGCGAAAAAACAAATCAAATTTGACTCACATCAAAATACGATTCCGGTCCACTTATATTTACCGGACATATTTTATGTAGTTTTTAAATAGTGATTTTTCATTTTATTAATCGTAAAAGTTTTCTCGACTAAAATTTGAGTAACGAAGAATACCATTAAATTACTATGATAAGACATTTTAAATCCTTGCACCGGCTATGAATTGAATATTTTGCTCGAAAAAAGACTTCTTATCCACTAAGATCTAACTTATGTCATATTAGAATTTACGCTCGTTCTCATATTTCGACGCTACTGATGTCAAATTTTATTATTGATGTTATCACTTCTTTTGACAGTGACAAAATTAGCCAAGTCTTTATTTTAATAAGTAATCGAATGGCTCGCGGAGCCCCAAGTTTCTCTCACGGAGCACTTTGAGAACCTCTGCACTAATAGACCAAGGAGGAAATTTTCGTAGAAGTGTTTGAAGTATCGTTGTACATGTTTAATAGCTGAGTTTTAGGCACAATATTGTAGAATTTTAGCATCTCTTTGAAAATTGGCTGTTTGCATCTAATAATTAAATATTCACTCCAGCTAACCATATTAGGATTTTGTGGCAACGCTCCCAAAAGGCCAAAAACTTAATATGTATACGCTTATCGCGATAGTTACCCTATGCCTGGTTTTACTCTAAAATGCGGAAAAAATTACTCATGTTTGCTAAACTCGATTCAGCAGATAAATAATAATAAATAGAGCAGATAAATAAACATAAAGTACTTCATTGTTACGTAACATTAAAGGCAAACACTACGCAATGAAAAATAATCGACATAGAATGGTAAAATGAATTTGTTGATTCATATACCCAGCATTTAAATTAAAAAAAAAACAAAAAAAAATATCCAATCATATTTTAGGTATGTTCAACACAATTCTGTTAGTTTTCGCGGCGCATTTGGCAACTCGCTTCATTACATCGTTTTCCTTTATCAATTTCATTTTTTTAGTGTTCCGCGAGGCGACATAAAAAGTGCAAGTGTTCCGTGGCAGAAAAAGTTTGGTAAACGCTGGCTTAGGATAGAGAGGAAGTCGTCAGCAATCCTCTGGTACTAAATTATCCCTTACGGTATTTGAACCTGCGAATCCAAGCGGGGTAAGAAATCAAGCGTATTACTAAGGCTTAGAACGACGCGTCACGCAACTCGAACGTAGTCAGCTGCAGTGCACTGGCTGACATAGATACTAAATGCATTAAATTGCGTGTATACCCTTACCCTTCTTACAACTTCTCTAGTCGGCAGGCCAGATGTGAGAAAATGAAATCCTCGGTAGGACGGATTATTACAAAAAATACTTCGGTATCCAATCTTTGTTAAATGCTCGACACCCTCTGTCAACTTTACTTTTCTTGAGATATTCCATGGTTAATAAAGTGCTTCATACGGACATAGGCTCTCCGCGATCAAATACAAGCAGCAAATACATCCGAGTTATCAAATATAGTAATTTCAATTCACTCATTAATATTGATCGGTAAGTACCAATTTGTTTTTGTTACGTTCTTATTGTGGGGCTACGTCAATAACACCTCTTCACAAGCTCCATAACACCGAATATTTGAATGTCTCGAATAAATGATCTATATATTATCAGTTATTTTCGTCGGTGTGCTCTTGTCTTGAGCAGTCAATTATTTACTTCACATAGAACTGCTGATGTTATGTCTCCGCCGTTTGATTGGGCGAAGAAATTACTATACAGTAGGCATCGAAACAACGTCACATTATGACCTCCATTTAAACGACATCGCCGGCACGTTAATGTACGAAAACTTATTATTCTTGGCTGCGCAGGTCAATGAGCTAAGATTTGTACGCCAATGCAGAGAATGCATTGATATTACGCTAAACTTGTACATGCCGTTATTCTTTCATTGAGTTGTGGGAGGGTTACATTTTTGATGGCATTCACGTGCGCGTTTACTCTACAAATATAAACAGACAAATATGATGGAATTGCTGGATTCTTTGTACTAAGCTCCCGTCACTGATGCAAAAATGTGTGATCTGAGATAAACACGCCTGTCACGTTTTATCTCTCACCTTAACCGAATAATTAATATTTCTATTTATTTCGAGCGTTGGCGGGGTGTTGTTTTGGGGCGGGACTTGGTACAAAAGATCCTGAGAACATTACTGTAAACTAGGTATTATACTATGTATGAAGCAAATCCCAACCGTCATTTGCATTCTGCAACTTTGAGATCACGCGTCAGAAGCGTTATCGGATCGTAACGACAACCTGGAGTAATTAAAGTAATCAGTTAAAAACATTTGTTTGTAAACAATCAGTTAGCTTTTTTGTCAAGTATTTGTGCGCGGGAAGCCACAAGCGACATCGCTTTTAGTCAGTCACAATTGTTCGTCGTAAGATGAGGTATGATTTTGTGTGGGATGTATGAATAGGCTGACTGTGGGTTATGACAGTGAGTTCGAAACAATATTCAGGTGAGCTAAATGTTCTTTATACCTATTGTTTTCATTGCTATTATATTGCTTTCATTTTACTATTGTATAAGTGGTAAATTAGAGGTTTTCGGGCCTATACGACTTGGAATTATTAACCAAATACAGAAGTCTAGATTGATGGATGATTCTTTTTTGTATCGAACTCACTAGCAGCGGGTTCCATCGCTTCCTCACAAATAGGCCAAACTTTAAAGCTATATGGCAATACATGAACTTATCATATTAAAAAAGTTAAACGTAATGCACTGATCTACGTAACTACGTAAGCTGCATTTAACATGGTACGCGTTACATGAATGTAATGCATAACTTTCAAAACTTTTAAAAATATAGCGCAAAATCCATGGTTTAATAGAGATTCGCCGTAGCCTTTTAACTTTAATATATTATTGTATATAGATTGGATGTTTGTACAAAGACCCTACCAACGTTCCAAAATAAGAGAATTAGTAATTATCCAGTTTAAGTTACAAATGCAGATTGAGCTGGTAATTCAATTTTTAAATCATTTCTAACCCCAAATGGATAATTACTAATATGTCATTTTGAAACGTGGCGGGAGCTTTGTGCAAAAGATCCGATAGATTCAGTCCCACTGTCCATTGAATATGCTAGCTACAGTTCTGCGACAGTTTATTTATCAATATCTCTCCTTTTTTCCAGGTGCAGAAATATTAAAGGTTAAAGATTCAAAGACACAAAGTAACGAACGAGGAATATTACTAGTAAATATTATTTGAACATTTTATTTGACTTTCGACGTCTATTGATTCCTGTATACCACTGTTTTTGTTTAAAATGTTAAACAATTCGATGCGAGCGCACCGCGTCTCGGGTCTTGCGATCAGATTCAGCATTGTTATGCCACTTATTTGATCGCGTGTTTTCTCTCGAACTTGTAAGATTTAGATTTTGCACAAGTTATTTGTATTTCGAAGCAGAAGTCCAAAACAGTACTATAAATATAATACCTTGTATCAAATTGGTGTACTCTTTGCGACCCCTAAAATTCGTTGCGCGCTACCCTGCTTGATAGCGATCCCCAGTTTGCGATCCCAACCGTGAACAATGTGATAATTCTACAAGTTACTGATCAGAGGTAATTAGTCATATACTCCATGAAACAGTTATAAAACTACATTGGGTATTTTATTGTTATTTTAATATTTGCAATTTGAAAACTACACCTGATGTGTTATAAAGTATATATTTAAAATTTAATGGCAATCGCTGAAGAAATTTTCTTCGTCTAAATTTTCTAAGTTTTGGGTTTTATAAAATTAAATGTCGAAATTTACCCGTTACGTATTTTATTAAAACTTACGTATATTTTTGTAGAAAATATTCAGAAAAGAGTCTTACTTTAGGAATACAAAATGAGGTACAATATGATACACTAACCTATCATTTTAACTAACTCTCATTTTAGCATAAGCATAGCTTTGCAGTGTCTCTGTCAAATAACATTTGTGTGAATTAACTACCTGAAAATGCCATAGTTCAATAAAATTTAGTTTAATTCAAATTTAGAATTGCCTTACACAAAATCACGACATATATATTGATTTTCAGCGTTTTAAAACAGGACACCAAAAGAAATTCCGTCAAGTGCCAGGTTTTCATCACTGAGTGAGATGGAGGCCTATCAAGTCTGAAGAGCAAGTATGTAACCAACTCATTTGAAATCTTTCAATTTACATGTCTATAAATAAATGATATATTGTATTTATTTAGGGAAATCTACAAACAAATTACTACTTTTAATATATTGAGTATAAGCTTAGTTTTGTTTCGTCTGTCAAATGAAATTTTCTATAAATTACAAACCTCAAAATTTCATAATAACATGATTCGCACAACTACCGTTTTATTCTGGCTATCGAGTCGGCCGAGTGAATAAGGCGGGGGTCATTTTTTAGAAATAAAATTGGGCTTTTTTCGTTCCCACCCAATAGTCGAGACACAATATTGCATTACAATATATATGTAGTATATAGTTTAATGGCTGTTTCTGTCACACAATATTCAGTCCATGACAACGACAAGAATTTAAAATGTCTTTCTATTTTAATTTAATTGTGTTCATGGTAACTCGCGGTTGCGTCGACTTACGACAAGATGAAAGCATTACTTTTTTAAAATGCCACGGCAATCGGCGAACATAATATTGTGCGAATATATTGCCCGATTATATTTAGTTCCGATACATATTTTTTGCGATCTTGCGAATTTGTTATCGCCGTTAAGAAAATCCTACTTTCTGCTATAAAGTTCTAGAAAGTACAACTTGATTTAGTACTTATTAAAAAAATATTTAAAGTTTATTAGTAAATCAAAAATACATATTCATCGTCTTGTTTTACTATCAAGTTAATTGTGATGATTTCAATCTGCAATTGTGTTGACGAAATAAAAGCAATACTACTCAGAAAATATCAAAGTGGTTAAGTGCCCGATTATATTTTTGATTTTGATTCGTATTTTTGTGAATTCGTCAAATCTGAGCTGTTCGTACAACACCTACGGCGCTCCAGTACTGTACGTACCAATGTAGGGCAAAGAACCCTAAGAAAAAATGCCCTTGTACGTACGTATACTAAGGTAGCACCCTAAATTTTGCGATTTGCAATGTCTGAAAAAGCGTTATTAATCGGTCTCGGGCGATCATAAAACAAAACTTATGGTGCTATCCGTTTTATTTTTAGTATTTTGTATTGCCGCTTTTCAATTTAGAAAATTTGGGTTGTCACCATTGACACCTACCAGAAATTTAAAAAAAATTTTGTTGTTCGAACTCGCGAACTCGAAGACGGACTCATTTGAGACCGCGGACTCGGGTTGGGAAACACTATTCTAAAGTATAAGCATAGCTTCTCTGTGCTCCTGTCAAATTACATTTTCTGCAAATTGCATTTTCTGTAACTTGAAAACCTAATAATGACAGAGTTCGAACAACTATATATAATTCAAATCAATATTATTTAAAATTTACCTACATTTTATCATTTCATATAAATTTCAGCTTTCTGAAACACTTCTTGAAAGCGGGAAAGACAATTTATCAGCATGCTGAGGCTAAAGACATGCTGGAGGCATTTGCCCAATTATGCATCACTGAGAGAGGTGGCTGCCTCGAGTCTAAAGAGCAAGTATGTTATCATAATCTTTTGAATTTTTCTAATTTACATTCATCATCATTATTCACAGATCCCCACAATAAATTTTGAAATTGTTATCTATTACTATTCCTAAGTAAGTTAAAATTACTTTACGTAATTTAAAGGGTAAACATTTTTGATAGACTTAATACCAGACATAAATAAATCTAAATTTCATAGATAAATTAAATATTTTAAGGCTGTAAACTCAACAAACATAATATCAAATTTGAGGTCAAACACCCTTTTGGTGATTTTGGAATACTGAAAAAGTTCTAATAACGTACGCGATGGCATTTTGGTAGTATTGCCGATTGTTTTCGTCAGCGTAACGTGTTTTTATTTAACAACTTATGCGCTTATTCTCTCTGAATCACAAATTTTCCTTGGCATATGCATGTATTGTTCCACGAGGCCGACGATAACTTTTTTTTTCTTGTGCGGAATTACAAGTACAGTGTACGAAACAAGTTAGAATACTATATTATAAAAATCGGTGAAGAGAAGCTAAGAATAAATGATAAAGAGGTGAATCTGCAAACCAATTTCTTGATTGAAAAGCGGCATCATAAAATATTGAAACTAAAATCTAAAACGAAAGATTTCACCATAAGTTTTGTTTTAGCAGTCTCGTAGCAGATTGAAAACGCTTTTTAGACATTGTAAATTTCTGGTATGTTAGGATTTCTTTTAAATGTGTACAACTATACAATATAGTAACTGAAATCGAAACACAGTAAATTGTTCGCGCAATGTACCTTTTGTCTATTTTGATACTAACGATGAAGCCCAATACGACCTTTTCTCGGTAAGTGACAATATATAAGATAATTAATTCAAAATATGTCGATCAATTTTTTTTTGCAATATTTTAAATTACAATCGTTCGTATTTTGTCCATATCTTTAGAATAATTTTGAGTGCCGAAAAAACAAATCAAATTTGACTCACCTCAAAATACGATTCCGGTCCACTTATATTTACCGGACGTATTTTATGCAGTTTTTAAATAGTGATTTTTCATTTTATTAATCGTAAAAGTTTTCTCGACTAAAATTCGAGTAACGAAGAACACCATTCAATTACTATGAAATTACTATGATAAGACATTTTAAATGCTTGCACCGGCTATGAATTGAATATGTTACTCGAAAAAGACTGTTTATCCACTAAAATCTAACTCATGTCATATTAGAATTTACGCTCGTTCTCATATTTCGACGCTACTGATGTCAAATTTTATTAATGATTGGTGTGCTCTTTGCGACCTCTAAAATTAGTTGCGCGCTTCCCTGCTTGATAGCGATCCCCAGTTTGCGATCCCAACCGTGAACAATGTGATAATTCTACAAGTTACTGATCAGAGGTAATTAGTCTTATACTCCATGAAACAGTTATAAAACTACATTGGGTATTATATTGGTATTTTAATATTTGCAATTTGAAAACTACACCTGATATGTTATAAAGTATATATTCGAAATTTAATGGCAAGCGCTGAAGAAATTTTCTTCGTCTAAATTTTCTAAGTTTTGGATTTTATAAAATTAATTGTCGAAATTTACCCGTTACGTATTTTATTAAAACTTACGTATATTTTTGTAGAAAATATTCAGAAAAGAGTCTTACTTTAGGAATACAAAATGAGGTACAATATGATACACTAACCTATCATTTTAACTAACTATCATTTTAACATAAGCATAGCTTTGCATTGTCTCTGTCAAATAACATTTGTGTGAATTAACTACCTGAAAATGCCATAGCTCAATAAAATTTAGTTTAATTCAAATTTAGAATTGCCTTACACAAAATCACGACATATATATTGATTTTCAGCGTTTTAAAACAGGACACCAAAAGAAATTCCGTCAAGTGCCAGGTTTTCATCAATGAGTGAGATGGAGGCCTATCAAGTCTGGAGAGCAAGTATGTAACCAAATCATTTGAAATCTTCCAATTTACATGTCTATAAATAAATGATATATTGTATTTATTTAGGGAAATCTACAACCAAATTACTACTTTTAATATATTGAGTATAAGCTTAGTTTTGTTTCGTCTGTCAAATAAAATTTTCTATAAATTACAAACCTCAAAATTTCATAATAACATGATTCGCACAACTACCGTTTTATTCTGGCTATCGAGTCGGCCGAGTGAATAAGGCGGGGGTCATTTTTTAGAAATAAAATTGGGCTTTTTTCGTTCCCACCCAATAGTCGAGACACAATATTGCATTACATTATATATGTAGTATATTATATATGTAGTATATAGTATAATGGCTGTTTCTGTCACACAATATTCAGTCCATGACAACGACAAGAATTTAAAATGTCTTTCTATTTTAATTTAATTGTGTTCATAGTAACTCGCGGTTGCGTCGACTTACGACAAGATGAAAGCATTACTTTTTTAAAATGCCACGGCAATCGGCGAAGATAATAATGTGCGAATATATTGCCCGATTATATTTAGTTCCGATATATATTTTTTGCGATCTTGCGAATTTGTTATCGCCGTTAAGAAAATCCTACTTTCTGCTATAAAGTTCCAGAAAGTACAACTTGATTTAGTACTTATTAAAAAGATATTTAAAGTTTATTAGTAAATCAAAAATACATATTCATCGTCTTGCTTTACTATCAAGTTAATTGTGATGATTTTAATCTGCAATTGTGTTGACGAAATAAAAGCAATACTACTCAGAAAATATCAAAGTGGTTAAGTGCCCGATTATATTTTTGATTTTGATTCGTATTTTTGTGAATTCGTCAAATCTGAGCAGTTCGTACAACACCTACGGCGCTCCAGTACTGTACGTACCAATGTAGGGCAAAGAACCCTAAGAAAAAATGCCCTTGTACGTACGTATACTACGGTAGCACCCTAAATTTTGCGATTTGCAATGTCTGAAAAAGCGTTATTAATCGGTATCGGGCGATCATAAAACAAAACTTATGGTGCTATCCGTTTTATTTTTAGTATTTTGTATTGCCGCTTCTCAATTTAGAAAATTTGGGTTGCCACCATTGACACCTACCAGAAATAAAAAAAAAATTTTGTTGTTCGAACTCGCGAACTCGAAGACGGACTCATTTGAGACCGCGGACTCGGGTTGGGAAACACTATTCTAAAGTATAAGCATAGCTTCTCTGTGCTCCTGTCAAATTACATTTTCTGTAACTTATAAACTTGAAAAACCGCGGACTCTGGTTGGGAAACACTATTCTAAAGTATAAGCATAGCTTCTCTGTGCTCCTGTCAAATTACATTTTCTGTAACTTATAAACTTGAAAACCTAATAATGACAGAGTTCGAACAACTATATATAATTCAAATCAATATTATTTAAAATTTACCTACATTTTATCATTTCATATAAATTTCAGCTTTCTGAAACACTTCTTGAAAGCGGGAAAGACAATTTATCAGCATGCTGAGGCTAAAGACATGCTGGAGGCATTTGCCCAATTATGCATCACTGAGAGAGGTGGCTGCCTCGAGTCTAAAGAGCAAGTATGTTATCATAATCTTTTGAATTTTTCTAATTTACATTCATCATCATTATTCACAGATCCCCACAATAAATTTTGAAATTGTTATCTATTACTATTCCTAAGTAAGTTAAAATTACTTTACTTAATTTAAAGGGTAAACATTTTTGATAGACTTAATACCAGACATAAATAAATCTAAATTTCATAGATAAATTAAATATTTTAAGGCTGTAAACTCAACAAACATAATATCAAATTTGAGGTCAAACACCCTTTTGGTGATTTTGGAATACTGAAAAAGTTCTAATAACGTACGCGATGGCATTTTGGTTGTATTGCCGATTGTTTTCGTCAGCGTAACGTGTTTTTATTTAACAACTTATGCGCTTATTCTCTCTGAATCACAAATTTTCCTTGGCATATGCATGTATTGTTCCACGAGGCCGACGATAACTTTTTTTTTCTTGTGCGGAATTACAAGTACAGTGTACGAAACAAGTTAGAATCCTATATTATAAAAATCGGTGAAGAGAAGCTAAGAATAAATGATAAAGAGGTGAATCTGCAAACCAATTTCTTGATTGAAAAGTGGCATCATAAAATATTGAAACTAAAATCTAAAACGAAAGATTTCACCATAAGTTTTGTTTTAGCAGTCTCGTAGCAGATTGAAAACGCTTTTTAGACATTGTAAATTTCTGGTATGTTAGGATTTCTTTTAAATGTGTACAACTATACAATATAGTAACTGAAATCGAAACACAGTAAATTGTTCGCGCAATGTACCTTTTGTCTATTTTGATACTAACGATGAAGCCCAATACGACCTTTTCTCGGTAAGTGACAATATATAAGATAATTAATTCAAAATATGTCGATCAATTTTTTTTTGCAATATTTTAAATTACAATCGTTCGTATTTTGTCCATATCTTTAGAATAATTTTGAGTGCCGAAAAAACAAATCAAATTTGACTCACCTCAAAATACGATTCCGGTCCACTTATATTTACCGGACGTATTTTATGCAGTTTTTAAATAGTGATTTTTCATTTTATTAATCGTAAAAGTTTTCTCGACTAAAATTCGAGTAACGAAGAACACCATTCAATTACTATGAAATTACTATGATAAGACATTTTAAATGCTTGCACCGGCTATGAATTGAATATGTTACTCGAAAAAGACTGTTTATCCACTAAAATCTAACTCATGTCATATTAGAATTTACGCTCGTTCTCATATTTCGACGCTACTGATGTCAAATTTTATTAATGATTGGTGTGCTCTTTGCGACCTCTAAAATTAGTTGCGCGCTTCCCTGCTTGATAGCGATCCCCAGTTTGCGATCCCAACCGTGAACAATGTGATAATTCTACAAGTTACTGATCAGAGGTAATTAGTCTTATACTCCATGAAACAGTTATAAAACTACATTGGGTATTATATTGGTATTTTAATATTTGCAATTTGAAAACTACACCTGATATGTTATAAAGTATATATTTGAAATTTAATGGCAAGCGCTGAAGAAATTTTCTTCGTCTAAATTTCCTAAGTTTTGGATTTTATAAAATTAATTGTCGAAATTTACCCGTTACGTATTTTATTAAAACTTACGTATATTTTTGTAGAAAATATTCAGAAAAGAGTCTTACTTTAGGAATACAAAATGAGGTACAATATGATACACTAACCTATCATTTTAACTAACTATCATTTTAACATAAGCATAGCTTTGCATTGTCTCTGTCAAATAACATTTGTGTGAATTAACTACCTGAAAATGCCATAGTTCAATAAAATTTAGTTTAATTCAAATTTAGAATTGCCTTACACAAAATCACGACATATATATTGATTTTCAGCGTTTTAAAACAGGACACCAAAAGAAATTCCGTCAAGTGCCAGGTTTTCATCAATGAGTGAGATGGAGGCCTATCAAGTCTGGAGAGCAAGTATGTAACCAAATCATTTGAAATCTTCCAATTTACATGTCTATAAATAAATGATATATTGTATTTATTTAGGGAAATCTACAACCAAATTACTACTTTTAATATATTGAGTATAAGCTTAGTTTTGTTTCGTCTGTCAAATAAAATTTTCTATAAATTACAAACCTCAAAATTTCATAATAACATGATTCGCACAACTACCGTTTTATTCTGGCTATTGAGTCGGCCGAGTGAATAAGGCGGGGGTCATTTTTTAGAAATAAAATTGGGCTTTTTTCGTTCCCACCCAATAGTCGAGACACAATATTGCATTACATTATATATGTAGTATATTATATATGTAGTATATAGTATAATGGCTGTTTCTGTCACACAATATTCAGTCCATGACAACGACAAGAATTTAAAATGTCTTTCTATTTTAATTTAATTGTGTTCATAGTAACTCGCGGTTGCGTCGACTTACGACAAGATGAAAGCATTACTTTTTTAAAATGCCACGGCAATCGGCGAACATAATAATGTGCGAATATATTGCCTGATTATATTTAGTTCCGATATATATTTTTTGCGATCTTGCGAATTTGTTATCGCCGTTAAGAAAATCCTACTTTCTGCTATAAAGTTCCAGAAAGTACAACTTGATTTAGTACTTATTAAAAAGATATTTAAAGTTTATTAGTAAATCAAAAATACATATTCATCGTCTTGCTTTACTATCAAGTTAATTGTGATGATTTTAATCTGCAATTGTGTTGACGAAATAAAAGCAATACTACTCAGAAAATATCAAAGTGGTTAAGTGCCCGATTATATTTTTGATTTTGATTCGTATTTTTGTGAATTCGTCAAATCTGAGCAGTTCGTACAACACCTACGGCGCTCCAGTACTGTACGTACCAATGTAGGGCAAAGAACCCTAAGAAAAAATGCCCTTGTACGTACGTATACTACGGTAGCACCCTAAATTTTGCGATTTGCAATGTCTGAAAAAGCGTTATTAATCGGTATCGGGCGATCATAAAACAAAACTTATGGTGCTATCCGTTTTATTTTTAGTATTTTGTATTGCCGCTTCTCAATTTAGAAAATTTGGGTTGTCACCATTGACACCTACCAGAAATAAAAAAAAAATTTTGTTGTTCGAACTCGCGAACTCGAAGACGGACTCATTTGAGACCGCGGACTCGGGTTGGGAAACACTATTCTAAAGTATAAGCATAGCTTCTTTGTGCTCCTGTCAAATTACATTTTCTGTAACTTATAAACTTGAAAAACCTAATAATGACAGAGTTCGAACAACTATATATAATTCAAATCAATATTATTCAAAATTTACCTACATTTTATCATTTCATATAAATTTCAGCTTTCTGAAACACTTCTTGAAAGCGGGAAAGACAATTTATCAGCATGCTGAGGCTAAAGACATGCTGGAGGCATTTGTCCGATTATGCATCACTGAGAGAGGTGGCTGCCTCGAGTCTAAAGAGCAAGTATGTTATCATAATCTTTTGAATTTTCCTAATTTACATTCATCATCATTATTCACAGATCCCCACAATAAATTTTGAAATTGTTATCTATTACTATTCCTAAGTATGTTAAAATTACTTTACTTAATTTAAAGGGTAAACATTTTTGATAGACCTAATACCAGACATAAATAAATTAAATTTCATAGATAAATTAAAAATTTTAAGGCTGTAAACTCAACAAACATAATATCAAATTTGAGGTCAAACACCCTTTTGGTGTTTTTGGAATACTGAAAAAGTTCTAATAACGTACGCGATGGCATTTTGGTAGTATCGCCGATAGTTTTCGTCAGCGTAACGTGTTGTTATTTAACAACTTATGCGCTTATTCTCTCTGAATCACAAATTTTCCTTGGCATATGCATGTATTGTTCCACGAGGCCGACGATAACTTTTTTTTCTTGTGCGGAATTATGAGTACAGTGTACGAAACAAGTTAGAATACTATATTATAAAAATCGGTGAAGAGAAGCTAAGAATAAATGATAAAGAGGTGAATCTGCAAACCAATTTCTTGATTGAAAAGCGGCATCATAAAATATTGAAACTAAAATCTAAAACGAAAGATTTCATCATAAGTTTTGTTTTAGCAGTCTCGTAGCAGATTGAAAACGCTTTTTAGACATTGTAAATTTCTGGTATGTTAGGCTTTCTTTTAAATGTGTACAACTATACAATATAGTAACTGAAATCGAAACACAGTAAATTGTTCGCGCAATGTACCTTTTGTCTATTTTGATACTAACGATGGAGCCCAATACGACCTTTTCTCGGTAAGTGACAATATATAAGATAATTAATTCAAAATATGTCGATCAATTTTTTTTTGCAATATTTTAAATTACAATCGTTCGTATTTTGTCCATATCTTTAGAATAATTTTGAGTGCCGAAAAAACAAATCAAATTTGACTCACCTCAAAATACGATTCCGGTCCACTTATATTTATCGGACGTATTTTATGCAGTTTTTAAATAGTGATTTTTCATTTTATTAATCGTAAAAGTTTTCTCGACTAAAATTCGAGTAACGAAGAACACCATTCAATTACTATGAAATTACTATGATAAGACATTTTAAATACTTGCACCGGCTATGAATTGAATTTGTTACTCGAAAAAGACTTTTTATCCACTAAGATCTAACTCATGTCATATTAGAATTTACGCTCGTTCTCATATTTCGACGCTACTGATGTCAAATTTTATTAATGATTGGTGTGCTCTTTGCGACCCCTAAAATCAGTTGCGCGCTTCCCTGCTTGATAGCGATCCCCAGTTTGCGATCCCAACCGTGAACAATGTGATAATTCTACAAGTTACTGATCAGAGGTAATTAGTCATATACTCCATGAAACAGTTATAAAACTACATTGGGTATTTTATTGTTATTTTAATATTTGCAATTTGAAAACTACACCTGATATGTTATAAAGTATATATTTGAAATTTAATGGCAATCGCTGAAGAAATTTTCTTCGTCTAAATTTTCTAAGTTTTGGATTTTATAAAATTAATTGTCGAAATTTACCCGTTACGTATTTTAATAAAACTTACGTATATTTTTGTAGAAAATATTCAGAAAAGAGTCTTACTTTAGGAATACAAAATGAGGTACAATATGATACACTAACCTATCATTTTAACTAACTATCATTTTAACATAAGCATAGCTTTGCATTGTCTCTGTCAAATAACATTTATGTGAATTAACTACCTGAAAATGCCATAGTTCAATAAAATTTAGTTTAATTCAAATTTAGAATTGCCTTACACAAAATCACGACATAAATATTGATTTTCAGCGTTTTAAAACAGGACACCAAAAGAAATTCCGTCAAGTGCCAGGTTTTCATCAATGAGTGAGATGGAGGCCTATCAAGTCTGGAGAGCAAGTATGTAACCAAATCATTTGAAATCTTCCAATTTACATGTCTATAAATAAATGATATATTGTATTTATTTAGGGAAATCTACAACCAAATTACTACTTTTAATATATTGAGTATAAGCTTAGTTTTGTTTCGTCTGTCAAATGAAATTTTCTATAAATTACAAACCTCAAAATTTCATAATAACATGATTCGCACAACTACCGTTTTATTCTGGCTATCGAGTCGGCCGAGTGAATAAGGCGGGGGTCATTTTTTAGAAATAAAATTGGGCTTTTTTCGTTCCCACCCAATAGTCGAGACACAATATTGCATTACATTATATATGTAGTATATTATATATGTAGTATATAGTATAACGGCTGTTTCTGTCACACAATATTCAGTCCATGACAACGACAAGAATTTAAAATGTCTTTCTATTTTAATTTAATTGTGTTCATAGTAACTCGCGGTTGCGTCGACTTACGACAAGATGAAAGCATTACTTTTTTAAAATGCCACGGCAATCGGCGAACATAATAATGTGCGAATATATTGCCCGATTATATTTAGTTCCGATATATATTTTTTGCGATCTTGCGAATTTGTTATCGCCGTTAAGAAAATCCTACTTTCTGCTATAAAGTTCCAGAAAGTACAACTTGATTTAGTACTTATTAAAAAGATATTTAAAGTTTATTAGTAAATCAAAAATACATATTCATCGTCTTGCTTTACTATCAAGTTAATTGTGATGATTTTAATCTGCAATTGTGTTGACGAAATAAAAGCAATACTACTCAGAAAATATCAAAGTGGTTAAGTGCCCGATTATATTTTTGATTTTGATTCGTATTTTTGGGAATTCGTCAAATCTGAGCTGTTCGTACAACACCTACGGCGCTCCAGTACTGTACGTACCAATGTAGGGCAAAGAACCCTAAGAAAAATGCCCTTGTACGTACGTATACCACGGTAGCACCCTAAATTTTGCGATTTGCAATGTCTGAAAAAGCGTTATTAATCGGTATCGGGCGATCATAAAACAAAACTTATGGTGCTATCCGTTTTATTTTTAGTATTTTGTATTGCTGCTTTTCAATTTAGAAAATTTGGGTTGCCACCATTGACACCTACCAGAAATAAAAAAAAAATTTTGTTGTTCGAACTCGCGAACTCGAAAGACGGACTCATTTGAGACCGCGGACTCGGGTTGGGAAACACTATTCTAAAGTATAAGCATAGCTTCTCTGTGCTCCTGTCAAATTACATTTTCTGTAACTTATAAACTTGAAAACCTAATAATGACAGAGTTCGAACAACTATATATAATTCAAATCAATATTATTCAAAATTTACCTACATTTTATCATTTCATATGAATTTCAGCTTTCTGAAACACTTCTTGAAAGCGGGAAAGACAATTTATCAGCATGCTGAGGCTAAAGACATGCTGGAGGCATTTGTCCGATTATGCATCACTGAGAGAGGTGGCTGCCTCGAGTCTAAAGAGCAAGTATGTTATCATAATCTTTTGATTTTTCCTAATTTATATTCATCATCATTATTCACAGATCCCCACAATAAATTTTGAAATTGTTATCTATTACTATTCCTAAGTAAGTTAAAATTACTTTACTTAATTTAAAGGGTAAACATTTTTGATAGACCTAATACCAGACATAAATAAATTAAATTTCATAGATAAATTAAAAATTTTAAGGCTGTAAACTCAACAAACATAATATCAAATTTGAGGTCAAACACCCTTTTGGTGTTTTTGGAATACTGAAAAAGTTCTAATAACGTACGCGATGGCATTTTGGTAGTATCGCCGATAGTTTTCGTCAGCGTAACGTGTTGTTATTTAACAACTTATGCGCTTATTCTCTCTGAATCACAAATTTTCCTTGGCATATGCATGTATTGTTCCACGAGGCCGACGATAACTTTTTTTCTTGTGCGGAATTATGAGTACAGTGTACGAAACAAGTTAGAATACTATATTATAAAATCGGTGAAGAGAAGCTAAGAATAAATGATAAAGAGGTGAATCTGCAAACCAATTTCTTGATTGAAAAGCGGCATCATAAAATATTGAAACTAAAATCTAAAACGAAAGATTTCACCATAAGTTTTGTTTTAGCAGTCTCGTAGCAGATTGAAAACGCTTTTTAGACATTGTAAATTTCTGGTATGTTAGGCTTTCTTTTAATTGTGTACAACTATACAATATAGTAACTGAAATCGAAACACAGTAAATTGTTCGCGCAATGTACCTTTTGTCTATTTTGATACTAACGATGGAGCCCAATACGACCTTTTCTCGGTAAGTGACAATATATAAGATAATTAATTCAAAATATGTCGATCAATTTTTTTTTGCAATATTTTAAATTACAATCGTTCGTATTTTGTCCATATCTTTAGAATAATTTTGAGTGCCGAAAAAACAAATCAAATTTGACTCACCTCAAAATACGATTCCGGTCCACTTATATTTATCGGACGTATTTTATGCAGTTTTTAAATAGTGATTTTTCATTTTATTAATCGTAAAAGTTTTCTCGACTAAAATTCGAGTAACGAAGAACACCATTCAATTACTATGAAATTACTATGATAAGACATTTTTAAATACTTGCACCGGCTATGAATTGAATTTGTTACTCGAAAAAGACTTTTTATCCACTAAGATCTAACTCATGTCATATTAGAATTTACGCTCGTTCTCATATTTCGACGCTACTGATGTCAAATTTTATTAATGATTGGTGTGCTCTTTGCGACCCCTAAAATCAGTTGCGCGCTTCCCTGCTTGATAGCGATCCCCAGTTTGCGATCCCAACCGTGAACAATGTGATAATTCTACAAGTTACTGATCAGAGGTAATTAGTCATATACTCCATGAAACAGTTATAAAACTACATTGGGTATTTTATTGTTATTTTAATATTTGCAATTTGAAAACTACACCTGATATGTTATAAAGTATATATTTGAAATTTAATGGCAATCGCTGAAGAAATTTTCTTCGTCTAAATTTTCTAAGTTTTGGATTTTATAAAATTAATTGTCGAAATTTACCCGTTACGTATTTTATTAAAACTTACGTATATTTTTGTAGAAAATATTCAGAAAAGAGTCTTACTTTAGGAATACAAAATGAGGTACAATATGATACACTAACCTATCATTTTAACTAACTATCATTTTAACATAAGCATAGCTTTGCATTGTCTCTGTCAAATAACATTTGTGTGAATTAACTACCTGAAAATGCCATAGTTCAATAAAATTTAGTTTAATTCAAATTTAGAATTGCCTTACACAAAATCACGACATATATATTGATTTTCAGCGTTTTAAAACAGGACACCAAAAGAAATTCCGTCAAGTGCCAGGTTTTCATCAATGAGTGAGATGGAGGCCTATCAAGTCTGGAGAGCAAGTATGTAACCAAATCATTTGAAATCTTCCAATTTACATGTCTATAAATAAATGATATATTGTATTTATTTAGGGAAATCTACAACCAAATTACTACTTTTAATATATTGAGTATAAGCTTAGTTTTGTTTCGTCTGTCAAATGAAATTTTCTATAAATTACAAACCTCAAAATTTCATAATAACATGATTCGCACAACTACCGTTTTATTCTGGCTATCGAGTCGGCCGAGTGAATAAGGCGGGGGTCATTTTTTAGAAATAAAATTGGGCTTTTTTCGTTCCCACCCAATAGTCGAGACACAATATTGCATTACATTATATATGTAGTATATTATATATGTAGTATATAGTATAATGGCTGTTTCTGTCACACAATATTCAGTCCATGACAACGACAAGAATTTAAAATGTCTTTCTATTTTAATTTAATTGTGTTCATAGTAACTCGCGGTTGCCTCGACTTACGACAAGATGAAAGCATTACTTTTTTAAAATGCCACGGCAATCGGCGAACATAATAATGTGCGAATATATTGCCCGATTATATTTAGTTCCGATATATATTTTTTGCGATCTTGCGAATTTGTTATCGCCGTTAAGAAAATCCTACTTTCTGCTATAAAGTTCCAGAAAGTACAACTTGATTTAGTACTTATTAAAAAGATATTTAAAGTTTATTAGTAAATCAAAAATATATATTCATCGTCTTGCTTTACTATCAAGTTAATTGTGATGATTTTAATCTGCAATTGTGTTGACGAAATAAAAGCAATACTACTCAGAAAATATCAAAGTGGTTAAGTGTCCGATTATATTTTTGATTTTGATTCGTATTTTTGTGAATTCGTCAAATCTGAGCAGTTCGTACAACACCTACGGCGCTCCAGTACTGTACGTACCAATGTAGGGCAAAGAACCCTAAGAAAAAATGCCCTTGTACGTACGTATACTACGGTAGCACCCTAAATTTTGCGATTTGCAATGTCTGAAAAAGCGTTATTAATCGGTATCGGGCGATCATAAAACAAAACTTATGGTGCTATCCGTTTTATATTTAGTATTTTGTATTGCCGCTTCTCAATTTAGAAAATTTGGGTTGCCACCATTGACACCTACCAGAAATAAAAAAAAAATTTTGTTGTTCGAACTCGCGAACTCGAAGACGGACTCATTTGAGACCGCGGACTCGGGTTGGGAAACACTATTCTAAAGTATAAGCATAGCTTCTCTGTGCTCCTGTCAAATTACATTTTCTGTAACTTATAAACTTGAAAAACCGCGGACTCGGGTTGGGAAACACTATTCTAAAGTATAAGCATAGCTTCTCTGTGCTCCTGTCAAATTACATTTTCTGTAACTTATAAACTTGAAAACCTAATAATGACAGAGTTCGAACAACTATATATAATTCAAATCAATATTATTCAAAATTTACCTACATTTTATCATTTCATATAAATTTCAGCTTTCTGAAACACTTCTTGAAAGCGGGAAAGACAATTTATCAGCATGCTGAGGCTAAAGACATGCTGGAGGCATTTGTCCGATTATGCATCACTGAGAGAGGTGGCTGCCTCGAGTCTAAAGAGCAAGTATGTTATCATAATCTTTTGAATTTTCCTAATTTACATTCATCATCATTATTCACAGATCCCCACAATAAATTTTGAAATTGTTATCTATTACTATTCCTAAGTAAGTTAAAATTACTTTACTTAATTTAAAGGGTAAACATTTTTGATAGACCTAATACCAGACATAAATAAATTAAATTTCATAGATAAATTAAAAATTTTAAGGCTGTAAACTCAACAAACATAATATCAAATTTGAGGTCAAACACCCTTTTGGTGTTTTTGGAATACTGAAAAAGTTCTAATAACGTACGCGATGGCATTTTGGTAGTATCGCCGATAGTTTTCGTCAGCGTAACGTGTTTTTATTTAACAACTTATGCGCTTATTCTCTCTGAATCACAAATTTTCCTTGGCATATGCATGTATTGTTCCACGAGGCCGACGATAACTTTTTTTTCTTGTGCGGAATTATTAGTACAGTGTACGAAACAAGTTAGAATACTATATTATAAAAATCGGTGAAGAGAAGCTAAGAATAAATGATAAAGAGGTGAATCTGCAAACCAATTTCTTGATTGAAAAGCGGCATCATAAAATATTGAAACTAAAATCTAAAACGAAAGATTTCACCATAAGTTTTGTTTTAGCAGTCTCGTAGCAGATTGAAAACGCTTTTTAGACATTGTAAATTTCTGGTATGTTAGGATTTCTTTTAAATGTGTACAACTATACAATATAGTAACTGAAATCGAAACACAGTAAATTGTTCGCGCAATGTACCTTTTGTCTATTTTGATACTAACGATGAAGCCCAATACGACCTTTTCTCGGTAAGTGACAATATATAAGATAATTAATTCAAAATATGTCGATCAATTTTTTTTTGCAATATTTTAAATTACAATCGTTCGTATTTTGTCCATATCTTTAGAATAATTTTGAGTGCCGAAAAAACAAATCAAATTTGACTCACCTCAAAATACGATTCCGGTCCACTTATATTTACCGGACGTATTTTATGCAGTTTTTAAATAGTGATTTTTCATTTTATTAATCGTAAAAGTTTTCTCGACTAAAATTCGAGTAACGAAGAACACCATTCAATTACTATGAAATTACTATGATAAGACATTTTAAATGCTTGCACCGGCTATGAATTGAATTTGTTACTCGAAAAAGACTTTTTATCCACTAAGATCTAACTCATGTCATATTAGAAATTACGCTCGTTCTCATATTTCGACGCTACTGATGTCAAATTTTATTAATGATTGGTGTGCTCTTTGCGACCCCTAAAATTAGTTGCGCGCTTCCCTGCTTGATAGCGATCCCCAGTTTGCGATCCCAACCGTGAACAATGTGATAATTCTACAAGTTACTGATCAGAGGTAATTAGTCATATACTCCATGAAACAGTTATAAAACTACATTGGGTATTTTATTGTTATTTAATATTTGCAATTTGAAAACTACACCTGATATGTTATAAAGTATATATTTGAAATTTAATGGCAATCGCTGAAGAAGTTTTCTTCGTCTAAATTTTCTAAGTTTTGGATTTTATAAAATTAATTGTCGAAATTTACCCGTTACGTATTTTATTAAAACTTACGTATATTTTTGTAGAAAATATTCAGAAAAGAGTCTTACTTTAGGAATACAAAATGAGGTACAATATGATACACTAACCTATCATTTTAACTAACTATCATTTTAACATAAGCATAGCTTTGCATTGTCTCTGTCAAATAACATTTGTGTGAATTAACTACCTGAAAATGCGATAGTTCAATAAAATTTAGTTTAATTCAAATTTAGAATTGCCTTACACAAAATCACGACATATATATTGATTTTCAGCGTTTTAAAACAGGACACCAAAAGAAATTCCGTCAAGTGCCAGGTTTTCATCACTGTGTGAGATGGAGGCCTATCAAGTCTGAAGAGCAAGTATGTAACCAAATCATTTGAAATCTTTCAATTTACATGTCTATTAATAAATGATATATTGTATTTATTTAGGGAAATCTACTAACAAATTACTACTTTTAATATATTGAGTATAAGCTTAGTTTTGTTTCGTCTGTCAAATAAATTTTCTATAAATTACAAACCTCAAAACTTCATAATAACATGATTCGCACAACTACCGTTTTATTCTGGCTATCGAGTCGGCCGAGTGAATAAGGCGGGGGTCATTTTTTAGAAATAAAATTGGGCTTTTTTCGTTCCCATCCAATAGTCGAGACACAATATTGCATTACATTATATATGTAGTACATTATATATGTAGTATATAGTATAATGGCTGTTTCTGTCACACAATATTCAGTCCATGACAACGACAAGAATTTAAAATGTCTTTCTATTTTAATTTAATTGTGTTCTTGGTAACTCGCGGTTGCGCCGACTTACGACAAGATGAAAGCATTACTTTTTTGAAATGCCACGGCAATCGGCGAACATATTAATGTGCGAATATATTGCCCGATTATATTTAGTTCCGATACATATTTTTTGCGATCTTGCGAATTTGTTATCGCCGTTAAGAAAATCCTACTTTCTGCTATAAAGTTCCAGAAAGTACAACTTGATTTAGTATATATAAAAAGATATTTAAAGTTTATTAGTAAATCAAAAATGCATATTCATCGTCTTGCTTTACTATTAAGTTAATTGTGATGATTTTAATCTGCAATTGTGTTGACGAAATAAAAGCAATACTACTCAGAAAAATATCAAAGTGGTTAAGTGCCCGATTATATTTTTGATTTTGATTCGTATTTTTGTGAATTCGTCAAATATGAGCTGTTCGTACAACACCTACGGCGCTCCAGTACTGTACGTACCAATGTAGGGCAAAGAACCCTAAGAAAAAATGCCCTTGTAGGTACGTATACTACGGTAGCACCCTAAATTTTGCGATTTGTAATGTTTTATAAAGCGTTATTATTCGGTCTGATCATAAAACAAGACTTATGGTGCTATCCGTTTTATTTTTAGTATTTTGTTTTGCCGCTTTTCAATTTAGAAAATTTGGGTTGCCACCATTGACACCTACCAGGAATAAAACATTATTTTTCGTTGTTCGAACTCGCGAACTCGAAGACGGACTCATTTGAGACCGCGGACTCGGGTTGGGAAGCACTATTCTAAAGTATAAGCATAGCTTCTCTGCTTCTGTCAAATTACATTTTCTGTAACTTATAAACTTGAAAACCTAATAATGACAGAGTTCGAACAACTATATTTAGTTCAAATCAATATTATTCAAAATTTACCTACATTTTATCATTTCCTATAAATTTCAGCTTTCTGAAACACTTCTTGAAAGCGGGAAAGACAATTTATCATTATATCTAAAGACATGCTGGAGGCATTTGTCCGATTATGCATCACTGAGAGAGGTGGCTGCCTCGAGTCTAAAGAGCAAGTATGTTATCATAATCTTTTGAATTTTCCTAATTTACATTCATCATCATTATTCACAGATCCCCACAGTAAATTTTGAAATTGTTATCTATTACTATTCCTAAGTAAGTTAAAATTACTTTACTTCATTTAAATGGTAAACATTTTTGATAGGCTTAATACCAGACATAAATAAATTAAATTTCATAGATAAATTAAATATATTAAGGCTGTAAACTCAACAAACATAATACCAAATTTGAGGTCGAACACCCTTTTGGTGTTTTTGGAATACTGAAAAAGTTCTTTTGGAATTTTGGTAGTATCGCCGATAGTTTTCGTCAGCGTAACGTGTTTTTATTTAACAACTTATGCGCTTATTCTCTCTGAATCACAAATTTTTCTTGGCATATGCATGTATTGTTCCACGAGGCCGACGATAACCTTTTTTTTCTTGTGCGGAATTATGAGTTCAGTGTACGAAACAGGTTAGAATACTATATTATAAAAATCGGTGAAGAGAAGCTAAGAATAAATGATAAAGAGGTGAATCCGCAAACCAATTTCTTGATTGAAAAGCGGCATCATAAAGTATTGAAACTGAAATCTAAAACGAAAGATTTCACCATAAGTTTTGTTTTAGCAATCTCGTAGCAGATTGAAAACGATTTTTAGGCATTGTAAATTTCTGGTATGTTAGAATTTCTTAAAAATGTGTACAACTATACAATATAGTAACTGAAATCGAAACACAGTAAGTTGTTCGCGCAATGTACCTTTTGTCTATTTTAATACTAACGCTGGAGCCCAATACGACTTTTTCTCGGTAAATGACGATATATAAGATAATTAATTCAAAATATGTCGATCAATTTTTTTTTGCAATATTTTAAATTACAATCGTTCGTATTTTGTCCATATCTTTAGAATAATTTTGAGTGCCGAAAAAACAAATCAAATTTGACTCACCTCAAAATACGATTCCGGTCCACTTATATTTACCGGACGTATTTTATGCAGTTTTTAAATAGTGATTTTTCATTTTATTAATCGTAAAAGTTATCTCGACTAAAATTCGAGTAACGAAGAACATCATTAAATCACTATGATAAGACATTTTAAATGCTTGCACCGGCTATGAATTGAATATGTTACTCGAAAAAGACTTTTTATCCACTAAGATCTAACTCATGTCATATTGGAATTTACGCTCGTTCTCATATTTCGACGCTACTGATGTCAAATTTTGTTAATGATGTTATTACTTCTTTTGACAGTCACAAAATTAGCCAAGTCATTATTTTAATAAGTAATCGAATGGCTCGCGGAGCCCCAAGTTTCTCTCACGGAGCACTTTGAGAACCTCTGCACTAATAGACCAAGGAAGAAATTTTCGTAGGAGTGTTTGAAGTATCGTTGTACATGTTTAATAGCTGCGTTTTAGGCAGAATATTGTACAAGTTTAGCATCTCTTTGAAAATTGGCTGTTTGCATCTAATATTTAAATATTCACTCCAGCTTACCATATTAGGATTTTGTGTCAACGCTCTCAAACGGCCAAAAACTTAATATGGATACGCTTATCGCGATAGTTACCCTATGCCTGGTTTTACTCTAAAAAGCGGAAAAAATTACTCATGCTTGCTAAACTCAATTCAGCAGATAAATAATAATAAACAGAGCAGATAAATAAACATAAAGTACTTCATTGTTACGTAACATTAAAGGCAAACACTACGCAATGAAAAGTAATCGGCATAGAAAGGTAAAATGAATTTGTTGATTTATATACCCAACATTTAAATTTAAAAAAAAAATCCAATCATATTTTAGGTATGTTTAACACAATTCTGTTAGTTTTCGCGGCGCATTTGGCAACTCGCTTCATTACATCGTTTTTCTTTATCAATTTCATATTTAGTGTTCCGCGAGGCGACATAAAAAGTGCAAGTGTTCCGTGGCGGAAAAAGTTTGGTAAACGCTGGCTAAAATTTTCCCAACCAGTAAAATCCAGACTAGCCCTTCTCGTGGCCACAGTTATGAAGTTGAGACGTTGAACCCTAGTTTTGTGGAGCTGATGACTTTATGTAAATGTTTAATCTATGGCTGCAAAAATGATATATCATAAGCTTTTTTCGCCGGTGATGGGAAAGCTTACAAGAAAGACATCTCTTTCATGTGGCGTTCGCTTAGGGCTAAATTGGTCGCCATGTCAATCACGCCATCGTAAAATTGTCCCCCAACTAACGACCGTTGAATATTGCGTCACCGTTGGCCTAAAGCTGACTAACTTTTTGCGGGTGGTGGCATTTTCGTTAACCGTCGGCCTACCTTTTTGATTGAAGTTCAATATCAAATTTACAGCTTTTGGTTTTGCTGTAGGCAAACATGTAGGCCTGAAGAATAATGGCAAAAGGTCAACTGTTCTTCCTCCACCTCTGCCTGGTTTTACTCAAAAATGCGGGAAAAATTACTCATGCTTGCTAAACTCGATTCAGCGGATAAATAATAATAAATAGAGCAGATAAACATAAAGTACTTCATTGTTACGTGACATTAAAGGCAAACACTACACAATGAAAAGTAGTCGACATAGAAAGGTAAAATGAATTTGTTGATTCATATACCCAGCATTTAAATTAAAAAAAAAAACAAAAAAAAATATCCAATCATATTTTAGGTATGTTTAACACAATCATGTTAGTTTTCGCGGCGCAATTGGCAACTCGCGTCATTACATCGTTTTTCTTTATCAATTTCATTTTTGGTGTTCCGCGGGGCGACATAAAAAGTGCAAGTGTTCCGTGGCGAAAAAAGTTTTATAAACGCTGGCTTAGGATAGAGAGGAAGTCGTCAGCAATCCTCTGTTACTAAATTATCCCTTACGGTATTTGAACCTGCGAATCCAAGCGGGGTAAGAAATCAAGCGTATTACTAATGCTTAGAACGACGCGCCACGCAACTCGAACGTAGTCAGCTGCAGTGCACTGGCTGACATAGATACTAAATGCATTGAAATACGTGTATACCCTTCTCTGGATCAGGGGTGGGCAACTTCTCTAGTCGGCGGGCCGGATGTGAGCAAATGAAATCCTCGGTAGGACGGATTAATACAAAAAATACTTCGGTATCCAATCTTTGTTAAATGCTCGACACCCTCTGTCAACTTTACTTATCTTGGGATATTCCATGGTTAATAAAGTGCTTCATACGGACATAGAGTCTCCACGATCTATTCGTTTACTCCAAATGGCATTAATAAAATTTAAGAAGCACCAAATACATCCGAGTTATCAAATATAGTAGTTTCAATTCACTCATTAATATTGATTGGTAAGTAACAATTTGATTTTGTTACGTTCTTATTGTTGGGCTACGTCAATAACACTTCTTCACGAGCTCCATAACACCAAATATTTGAATGGTCTCGAATAGATGATCTATATACTATCAGTTGTTTTTGTCGGTATGCTCTTGTATTGAGCAGTCAATTATTTACTTCAAATAGAACCGCTAATGTTATGTCTCCGCCGTTTGGTTTGGGGGAAGAAATTACTATACAGTAGGCATTGAAACAACGTCACATTATGACCTCCCTTCAAACGACATCGCCGGCACGTTAATGTACGAAAACTTAAAATTATTCTTGGCTGCGCAAGTCAATGAGCTAAGATTTGTACGCCAATGCAGAGAATGCATTGATATTACGCTAAACTTGTACACGCCGTTATTCTTTCATTGAGTTGTGGGAGGGTTACATTTTTGATGGCATTCACGTGCGCGTTTACTCTACAAATATAAACAGACAAATATGATTGAATTGCTGGATTCTTTGCACTAAGCTCCCGTCACTGATGCAAAAATGTGTGATCTGAGATAAACACGCCTGTCACGTTTTATCTCTCACCTTAACTGAATAATTAATATTTCTATTTAATTCGAGCGTTGGCGGGGTGTTGTTTTGGGGCGGGACTTGGTACAAAAGATCCTGAGAACATTACTGTGAACTAGGTATTATACTATGTATGAAGCAAATCCCAACCGTCATTTGCATTCTGCAACTTTGAGATCACGCGTCAGAAGCGTGATCGGATCGTAACGACAACCTGGAGTAATTAAAGTAATCAGTTAAAAACATTTGTTTGTAAACGACCAGTTAGCTTTTTTCGTAAAATATTTGTGCGCGGGAAGCCACAAGCGACATCGCTTTTAGTCGGTCACAAATGTTCGTCGTAAGATGAGGTATGATTTTGTGTGGGATGTATGGATAGGCTGACTGTGGGTTATGACAGTGAGTTCGAAACAATATTCAGGTGAGCTAAATGTTCTTTATACCTATTGCTTTCATTGCTATTATATTGCTTGCATTTTACTATTGTATAAGTGGTAAATTAGAGGTTTTCGGGCCTATACGAATTGGAGTTCCTAACCAAATACAGAAGTCTAGATTGTTGGATGATTCTCTTTTGTATCAAACTCACTAACAGCGGGTTCCATCGTTTCCTCACAAATAGGCCAAACTTTAGAGCTATATGGCAATACATAAACTTATCATATTAAGAAAGTTAAACGTAATGCACTGATCTACGTAACTACGTAAGCTGCATTCAACATGGTACGCGTTACATGGATGTAATGCATAACTTTCAAAACTTTTGCAAATGTAGCGCAAAATCCATGGTTTAATAGAGATTCGCCGTAGCCTTTTAACTTTAATATATTATTGTATATAGATTGGATGTTTGTACAAAGACCCTACCAACGTGCAACATAAGAGAATTAGTAATTATCCAGTTTAAGTTAGGAATGCAGATTGAGCTGGGAATTCAAATTTTTAAATCATTTCTAACCCCAAATGGATAATTACTAATATGTCATTTTGAAACGTGGTGGGAGCTTTGTGCAAAAGATCCGATAGATTCAGTCCCACTGTCCATTGAATAATCTAGCTACAGTTCTGCGACAGTTTATTAATCAATATCTCTAATTTTTTCCAGGTGCAGAAATATTAAAGGTTTAAGATTCAAAGACACAAAATAACGAACGAGGAATATTACAAGTAAATATTATTTGAACATTTTATTTGACTTTCGACGTCTATTGATTCCTGTATACCACTGTTTTTGTTCAAAATGTTAAACAATTCGATGCGAGCGCACCGCGTCTCGGGTCTTGCGATCAGATTCAGCATTGCTATGCCACTTATTTGATCGCGTGTTTTCTCTCGAACTTGTAAGATTTGGATTTTGCACAAGTTAATTGTATTTCGAAGCAGAAGTTCAAAACAGTACTATAAATATAATACCTTGTATCAAATTGGTGTACTCTTTGCGACCCCTAAAATTCGTTGCACGCTTCCCTGCTTGATAGCGTTCCCCAGTTTGCGATCCCAACCGTGAACAATGTGATAATTCTACAAGTTACTGATCAGAGGTAATTAGTCATATACTCCAAGAAACAGTTATAAAACTACATTGGGTATTTTATTGTTATTTTAATATTTGCAATTTGAAAACTACACCTGATATGTTATAAAGTATATATTTGAAATTTAATGGCAATCGCTGAAGAAATTTTCTTCGTCTAAATTTTCTAAGTTTTGGATTTTATAAAATTAAATGTCGAAATTTACCCGTTACGTATTTTATTAAAACTTACGTATATTTTTGAAGAAAATATTCAGAAAAGAGTCTTACTTTAAGAATACAAAATGAGGTAGGCCTACAATATGATACACTAACCCAGGGATGGCGAACCTTTTTCAATGAATGGGTCAAAAATTATATTTTTATCGCGGAACAGAAGAGAATGGGTCACAGATATATGATCAATGTTTGTATCTATAAGAAACTTCTGAAACAAATCTTTTAGGCTTCTGTTGGTGTAGTTTCAGGCTTTACTTATGAAGCACTTCTATCAGGGACTTTTTATGGCTCTAGATTTTATGAAATTAGAGTGCAAAAATACGCATATGATTTACCATAAACGGTTAGGATGATGCGGTAAATTTTTTTACGGTTCCAAAGAGTTTGGAGGGAATCTCACCCTGACAGTGTTCTATTTTTTGATCAACTTTCAACCTCATTAAGGCACTTTTACACTGTCCCATTGTTATTTCAGATTTCTAAGATTTTATTTCCAGTCTGGAAGATTTTGTTCTTTTAACGGTATTGTGGGCGAGAAACTAATAAAATACAAAGTAGCATCTAGTTCTCGCATAACCCCTAAAACAGTCTGCAGATAAACTTCCGAAAGAGACCAGACGTAGCGACAAATTAACTTATCAGTTGCATTGTTATGTCATAAACGATGTCAGAGCCAATAGCTGAATAATGGTTCACAGCGGTGCAGACAGGCGTCCAAGATTAGGGGTTTTGAAAATTACCATACCAACCCGAAAAAGTACCAATTTGAATATGAGCCCTCGCGGCCCTGACTGCCCAACTGACGGTAGATTATAATAGTTTAGGTATTGTTAAATTAATTTAAGGCCGGTTTTATCAATTTTTATCACTGATATGTTAGCATTTTATTATTATTTTATTCGTGCCTTGGCGGGTCACGAATAAAGCGCGGTTGGTCACTTTGTGACCCGCGGGTCAGTGGTTCGCCATCCCTGCCTAACCTATCATTTTAACTAATTATCATTTTAACATAAGCATAGCTTTGCAGTGTCTCTGTCAAATAACATTTGTGTGAATTAACTACCTGAAAATGCCATAGTGCAATAAAATTTAGTTTAATTCAAATTTAGAATTGCCTTACACAAAATCACGACGATATATTGATTTTCAGCGTTTTAAAACAGGACACCAAAAGAAATTCGTCAAGTGCCAGGTTTTCATCACTGAGTGAGATGGAGGCCTATCAAGTCTGAAGAGCAAGTATGTAACCAAATCATTTTAAATCTTCCAATTTACATGTCTTTAAATAAATGTTATATTTTATTTATTTAGGGAAATCTACAAACAAATTACTACTTTTAATATATTGAGTATAAGCTTAGTTTTGTTTCGTCTGTCAAATGAAATTTTCTATAAATTACAACCTCAAAATTTTATAATAACATGATTCGCACAACTACCGTTTTATTCTGGCTATCGAGTCGGCCGAGTGAATAAGGCGGGGGTCATTTTTTAGAAATAAAATTGGGCTTTTTTCGTTCCCATCCAATAGTCGAGACACAATATTGCATTACATTATATATGTAGTATATTATATATGTAGTATGTAGTATAATAGCTGTTTCTGTCACACAATATTCAGTCCATGACAACGACAAGAATTTAAAATGTCTTTCTATTTTAATTTAATTGTGTTCATGGTAACTCGCGGTTGCGTCGACTTACAACAAGATGAAAGCATTACTTTTTTGAAATGCCACGGCAATCGGCGAACATAATAATGTGCGAATATATTGCCCGATTATATTTAGTTTTGATACATATTTTTGCGATCTTGCGAATTTGTTATCGCCGTTAAGAAAATCCTACTTTCTGCTATAAAGTTCCAGAAAGTACAACTTGATTTAGTATATATTAAAAAGATATTTAAAGTTTATTAGTAAATCAAAAATACATATTCATCGTCTTGCTTTACTATTAAGTTAATCGTGATGATTTTAATCTGCAATTGTGTTGACGAAATAAAAGCAATACTACTCAGAAAATATCAAAGTGGTTAAGTGCCCGATTATATTTTTGATTTTGATTCGTGTTTTTGTGAATTCGTAATATCTGAGCTATTCGTACAACATCTACGGCGCTCCAGTACTGTACGTACCAATGTAGGGCAAAGAACCCTAAGAAAAAATGCCCTGGTGGTACGTACGTATATACTACGGTAGCACCCTAAATTTTGCGATTTGTAATGTCTAATAAAGCGTTATTAATCGGTCTAGGACGATCATAAAACAAAACTTATGGTGCTATCCGTTTTATTTTTAGTATTTTGTATTGCCGCTTTTCAATTTAGAAAATTTGGGTTGCCACCATTGACACCTACCAGAAATAAAAATTTATTTTTCGATGTTCGAACTCGCGAACTCGAAGACGGACTCATTTGAGACCGCGGACTCGGGTTGGGAAACACTATTCTAAAGTATAAGCATAGCTTCTCTGTGCTCAAATTACATTTTCTGTAACTTATAAACTTGAAAACCTATTAATGACAGAGTTCGAACAACGATATTTAATTCAAATCAATATTATTCAAAATTTACCTACATTTTATCATTTCATATAAATTTCAGCTTTCTGAAACACTTCTTGAAAGCGGGAAAGACAATTTATCATTATATCTAAAGACATGCTGGAGGCATTTGTCCGATTATGCATCACTGAGAGAAGTGAGTAAAAATTACTTTACTTATTATAACGGTAAACATTTTTGATAGGCTTAATACCAGACATAAATAAATTAAATTTCATAGATAAATTAAATATATTAGGGCTGTAAACTCAACAAACATAATATCAAATTTGAGGTCGAACACCCTTTTGGTGTGTTTGGAATACTGAAAAAGTTCTTTTGGCATTTTGGTAGTATCGCCGTTTTCGTCAGCGTGACGTGTTTTTATTTAACAACTTATGTGCTTATTCTCTCTGAATCACAAATTTTCCTTGGCGTATGCATGTATTGTTCCACGAGGCCGACGATAACTTTTTTTTCTTGTGCGGAATTATGAGTTCAGTGTACGAAACAAGTTAGAATACTATATTATAAAAATCGGTGAAGAGATGCTAAAGATAAATGATAAAGAGGTGAATCCGCAAACCAATTTCTTGATTGATAAGCGGCATCATAAAATAATGAAACTAAAATCTAAAGCGAACGATTTCACCATAAGTTTTGTTTTAGCAGTCTCGTAGCAGATTGAAAACGCTTTTTAGACATTGTAAATTTCTGGTATGTTAGGATTTCTTTAAAATGTGTACAACTATACAATATAGTAACTGAAATCGAAACACAGTAAATTGTTCGCGCAATGTACCTTTTGTCTATTTTAATACTAACGATGGAGCCCAATAAGACTTTTTCTCGGTAAGTGACGATATATAAGATAATTAATTCAAAATATGTCGATCAATTTTTTTTTGCAATATTTCAAATTACAATCGTTTTTATTTTGTCCATATCTTTAGAATAATTTTGAGTGCCGAAAAAACAAATCGAATTTGACTAACCTCAAATACGATTCCGGTCCACTTATATTTACCGGACATATTTTATGCAGTTTTTTAATAGTGATTTTCATTTTATTAATCGTAAAAGTTTTCTCGACTAAAATTCGAGTAACGAAGAACACCATTAAATTACTATGAAATTACTATGATAGGACATTTTAAATGCTTGCACCGGCTATGAATTGAATATTTTACTCGAAAAAAGACTTTTCATCCACTAAGATTCAACTCATGTCATATTAGAAATTACGCTCGTTCTCATATTTCGACGCTACTGATGTCAAATTTTATTATTGATGTTATTACTCCTTTTGACAGTGACAAAATTAGCCAAGTCAATATTTTAATAAGAAATCGAATGGCTCACGGAGCCCCAGGTTACTCCCACGGAGCACTTTGAGAACCTCTGCACTAATAGACCAAGGAAGAAATTTTCGTAAGAGTGTTTGAAGTATTGTTGTACATGTTTAATAGCTGAGTTTCAGGCAGAATATTGTACAATTTTAGCATCTCTTTGAAAATTGGCTGTTTGCATCTAATATTTAAATATTCACTCCAGCTTACCATATTAGGATTTTGTGGCAACGCTCCCAAATGGCCATAAACCTAATATGAATACGCTTATCGCGATAGTTACCTTATGTCTTGGCTTGTCCATGGGACGTCCCATGGGATGGGATGGGTCAACACACATTTGTATTTCCCATGGGACACGTGGGACACGAAAACCATATGACTTTCGGGAAAATAATGGTAATAAAATTCATTGTGGATTCCGTGCCCATATATTTGAGCATAACCCTCTTGTTAGTTATAAAGAGCAAAACATATACAGCATTAAAAATATACTTCGTGAAGGGGCTGGCACATGTATAATAGTTATGAATATAAAGTCCGTAAATATTGTTGTTTTGCATGTCTCTTCTTACATATAGCCCTATTTATTAGACGCTAAACCTAAATCTAACAATTTTTATTGAATTTTATTCCAATGGGAATCCCATGGAATGGGATGGGACAATGATAATTGCTATGGGATGGGAATGGGACAAAAAAACAGGATCCATGGACAAGCCTGCTTTTGTCTATATTTATTAGCATGTGTCGCCTAGTCATATAATGTTATTTATTTTGTTAAATGCAATTTGAAACTGATTTGTTTTTTCAATCGTGTGAATTACTTGTATATCTATCAATCAATATTATTTGTAATTTTTTCGGGAAACCTGCAGACAAAGTAATATTTTCATTATATTGAGTGTAAGTTCATCTTTGGTTTGTCTGTCAAAAAAAATGGAAAATCCCCTAAATATTTGTAATAACATGATTTGCACAACTATCGTTTTTTTTTCTGGCTAATAAGCGAATAAGACGAGAATAAATTTTAACAATAAAAAATCGTGTTTTTGTAATATTACCGCCCAATATTCGGGTTAAAAATTGCATCACTTTGTTCCAAATTTTGTCAGATTTTTGTCATTCCTGGGAAGGAACTTTTTCCCTTGTGTTTGCAGTAATGATGTTAGTTTAGGCACCAATGCGCGCTCATAATTTTATATGGCAAAGTCTTTAGAACCGGACCCGTGTTCATTTCTTCGTCCGCATGACATTTAATATTCTACCCCAAAAAACTGTAATTTAGCATTAAAAAGGTATCAGCAATTATTCACTGGGGCAATGGTTCTCAAACGGTGGGGCGCGCCTTGCAAAAGGGGCGTAGACAATTTTTGAGGGGGCATGTAGCTAATTAAATCATTTTTTGAATATTTACATTCCAACCCCGTATTTTTTTAAGGTATTTTTGAATGAAACATACTATTTGTTATTTGTAGCTTATTGCTAGCTAGTTATTCTTGAAGTGTGGCGAGCATTCTCATTACAAGAGTTACATTGTAATCACCACAATTCGTAAAACTTTTCATAGCTATATTATACTTATGAAATGTTTTCTTCTACTTAAGATATAATTACCAGTACTTCTTTATTGATTTCTCCATTGAAGCCTTCCTCGAAAACGTCTAGCTAACTGCTAGAACAGCATTGTATCAATAATAATATATAGGAGAAATCATTATTCTAAAACATGGCAACTCATTTCTATGTATATTGAATTAAATTGAGTATACACTAGTTTTGCGGATACAAGGATGTCTATATATCCTGTGTCATATTTATACCTATATTGCCTTCTTCATTGATAGCATAGTCATTATTATACTGCATAGGATTTATTAATTTTACTTTATGAGCCAATCTGGCTAATTTCATATATGTAATTTGAAATTATCATGGTCTATGACCATGGTACTAACCAGTTAACCGTGTCATTCGTGTTCCAAGTCAGAATTACATTAGCTTTTCAATAACGATGTTATATGAGTACGTCCAACCGAGTGTATCAATGTGAATTCTATACCATTTGGCGGCACTGGTTAACCACGCCATGCAATCCCCAAACTAAAATATCGTTTCCAGTGGCGATACTGTAACGCAGTGGTTCTCAAACTTCTTCGTATTGTGACGGCCTCCAAAAATATGCTCAAGTTGCGACTCTCCGTGAAAACCGCCCTAATACCTTTCCATAAAGGATCTTTATTGCAATTAGTTTTCAAAGTCAGTGAAATTGCATTTAATGGGATAGGAATAATTGCGACTTTTACAATTGTCACTGAACCTTGGTAAGAATTGTGAGAGCCGCACGCATTTCACTCTCAACATTTACTCGAGATCGATATTTTGTGTGTATTACGGCCATGGTTGAAAAACCTACTTCACAGGAACACGAAGTCCCAAAAGGGATCAAAGTGCACAACGCACTTGTTATAGCAAGATTTCGGCAGGTGAAACATGTTATCTAATAAGCCCAAACGGCATTTAGTAACATTGCATCCCCAGTTGCAACAAAAACCACGGAGCTTTACTACTTGAACGATCTGACGTCAATGTAGCCTACGTCCTACTTGTATTTTCAGACATCTCGTATAGTATCGTTTCCACGCTTGTAATATTACTTTTTCTATGCGCCAAAAAAAAATTCCGCAAAAAAAGAAAAAATTTTCGCGACGCCCAATTGAAACGACGCTCACTTTGGCAACCACTGCTGTAACGTATCAATATAGCCGTAAATCCTATTGGTAATAGACCGTTCATGTTCATAATTGTCTGTATTTAAAAATGTATTTCCTATTGCTATATCGTTGATTGCTGGTACTAATATGTTAGGTTATTATGTGTATACATCTATATATATGATAAAATAAAATAAATACACGGGTACGGATACAAGCATGTCTATATTTCTTATGTTTTATTTATACAGGTATTACGTTATTGATAAAATGGTCCTTATTATTCTGTGTAGAATTTACATTTTTAATATTATGAGCAAAACTTGTTTTTACCACAAAATAGTATCATACTATAAAGAAGAATCCCACTAAGCTCAGAAATGTAACTGTGATTATCATGGTCTATACCAGTGGTTCTCAAACTTTTTAGTCGCAGTAATATATACAGTAAAATATACTTCATCGCCTCTCCGTTTACAAAAGCATTTGAGGTCAGAAACGAATATAATACAGAACAAAAGGAACAAGATAAATCATAGTTTATAGTGTTTTTATTGAGATATATAAGCTTAGTGATCTTCCAGAGAGTTATTTTTTTTTTAATTTTGGTGACATTTCTGTCAGCCACAATCTCAAATCGCCCCGTTTACTAATCGAATGACGATTTCTTTGTTTTGATAGCACTTGTTTTGTTACAAACCTCTTCTCCACCATAAAAGAAATCGTAAATGAAGGAATCCAGGTTTCTGCCTTCTGCCTTTTTTGCATGGTTTGTCAAATTATGAAAGATTTTCATTAAAAAGATGCATCTTCATAAAAATCACGCATTGATGCATTTGTCGAATATAACATATGAATTTTATTTCCTCATTTCATTGCATTTCAAGAAGCATTGTAAAGTAGCAGTTAAATATTTTCTGTGGTATTGAACCCATGCACAGTGGACTCAGCATCAACTTTTTGCGTGTTATCATTCGTCTAATTATATTTAAATTGTAAACGTCGTTAAACGATTATCTGATTTATACAACCTGGTAGTAAACAGTTAATAACCATGCCATTCATGTTGCCAATCCAGAACCGCAATCAATTTTCAATACTGGTAATATTGGAGTGAGTCTAATCAAGTACATTGATATAACCGTGGATCTTACTACCTTCGGTGCTGGTTAACCATGTACTTCGTGTCCCAAACTGAAATTTTTAATATGGATAATATATAAATTAGGCCAACTGCACCAATGTAGACGTAAATCCCCTACGCCCGACTTATACTTCCCTTGGTAGTCCCAGTAACCAATAACCATACGTTACATGTTGATATGTGTTCGAAGCTGGCAATCTTTGTACGATTCATAGTTGATAAGTGTTCAAAGTTGGCAATTTTGGTAAGTCGAGAACACGCGTTCATATTGATAAGTGTTCGAAGCTGCATTCTTGGTAATCCAAGTAACCTACCGATTCATATTGATAAGTGTTCGAAGCTGGCAATCCTCTTGGTATCCAAGTAACCATACGATTCATATGATAAGTGTTCGAAGCTGCAATCCTCGTAGTCCAGTAACATTCGGTTTATGGATAGTGTCAAAGCTGCAATCTTTGGTAGTCCAAGTAACCATACAATTCATATTCATAAGTGTTCAAAGCTGGCAATCCTTGGTAGTCCTAGAAACCACGCGTTTAATATTTATAAGTGTTCGAAGCTGGCAATCCTTGGTAGTCCAAGTAACCATACGATTCATATTGATAAGTGTTCGAAGCTGGCAATCCTTGGTAAAGTAAATATACGATTCATATTGATAAGTGTTCGAACCTGGCAATCCTTGGTAGTCCAAGTAACCTTACGGTTTAGGTTGATGAGTGTTCAAAGCTGACAATTCTTGGTAGTCCAAGTAACCATACGGTTCATATTGATAAGTGTTAGAAGCAGGTAATCCTTGGTAGTCACTGTAATCATATGTTTCACGTTGATAAGTGCTGACAATATTCCCAATGCGCTGTTATTAAGTGCGAGTATTCATATATTATATTAATGCGTGTATGTATCTATGTATGACGCTGTATTAATGCGAATATTATGACTCTAAAATTGTTTATCATGAGGTACCTATGCTAACATGTCTAACTTCGTTACAAGCATAGTCCTTATCATTCTGTATACCATATACCCATTTTTTAATAATCTTGAAACCCGTTTTCACCACAAATGGTAAGTCACGCGCAGTACCATACTATGTAAGTGGATCGGATAGAGGGTATTAATGTAGTTGTTAACCCCCTTGTCTGTCGATACCCTTATTGATATTCTGTTGAGCGTTGGAAGGTGAATTGTGTTTCGAATAACGATAACATACAAATGTATTAATATAATCTTAAATCTCACACCCATTGGTACTGGTTTAACAATATGGTTCGTGTCCTAAAATTAAATTTCCCATAATTTACTATAGCCGTAAGTATCTTATAACCAGTATAGACCTTCATTGGTAGTGTTCCTAGGTCCCATGCCTTCATGTTTATAAGGTTTCAAATCTAGAAATATGTTCCCTATTTCTTCATAGTTTATTTCGAGTATTAATATTTTATGTTCTTATAATGAATGTATAATATCTACAATCTCTGTGGCTAATGTAACTTAATTGAAAATTAATTGATGAAATATATATTTTTAGTTGTTGGGAAGAAAAAGAAGAGAGGACCTGAATATTAAGGTAAATATAACGCACAATGCCTGTGGTACACAAAAATTTTAATTTAGACGCCCAATTTTGGAATTTCTCAAGTCTATTAACAATGTTCTACAAAAACACAGATAGTTAGGACGGAAGTTTTCGTCAATAAGCAGATTGCAAATACGTGGATGGAACTTAAATAATGAAATAAATTAGAAATAAGGCGGACAAGATTTTAGGCTTTTTAAGTTTCATCAATCAGCTTCACGTCCCTAAAATGTTTACGTTCCCTTGTGAAGCGCGCCCCACCGTTTGAAAACCACTCACCTAGTAAATAATTGACTGGTCAATATTTATATGATTAAATACAATATAATGCACGGACAGATCATTCAAATTAAGTACAAATTGTAATTTTCGTGGAAATCAGCAGATAATTTTAGAATAAACGAAAAATTATTAATTTATTTTTTTAAACTTCTAGTATAAGCTTAGCTTTTCTGTGTCCCTGTTAATTACAATTCTAAAGATTGATAATGACATAGTTTGAACGACTATATCTCTTCACTGTATTTCTGTCAAATAGCATTTTTTTGTGATTTAAATAACTTGATAGTGTCTTAGGTCAACGAAATTTAGTTTCACCTAAAGTTAGATAGACTCGGTATACACATGATCATGACATTAAATTGATTTTTTTATGTAGTTTTAATATAAGCTTACCTTTGCTTCACCTCTGCCAAACAGCATTTTTGTGATTTTTAAATTCAATACTTGATAATGAAACTATATATTTATTTTCAGTTTTCTAAAACACTGCTTGAAAGAGTCATTGCATCAAACGGAATCGACATTGTTAATAGTCTGGTGCATCACGGAGTGATATGGAAGTCTATATAGTCTAAAGAGTAAGAGCAAGTATGTGATCTTATAAATCTTTCAATTCATATTTTGCCAGGTATAAACTGATATATCATGTTAAATCCCGCTAGTCAGGAAGAGCTGCAAATATTTAAATTCTCCTAACGAGATGTCCAAAATATTTTGCCCAATTTTATAGATATAATTTCGTAAAGTCATGTAATGCAATGGTTTCCACGCGCTAGTTCACATGCTGGTGTTCAGTTTTTAGCCCGTATGCTACAAATTTTGCTGCTTTGTTAATTTCGTATACCTAATTTCCGAAAGGACGCGTGTTATGTTTCTTTTTGGGCATCCTGCTATCGATGGCGAGTATCGAAGTATGTATGTGCCAGTCGCCAGCGATGGGGCGTTTGCGGCTGCATTCATACAATTGGTCGGGCCTCATTTTATAGTATTTATTATATTCATATTTTATGGGTTCGTTTCTTCGCCATAGGGTTTTGTCAGTTTTTCAATAGTCTAGATTAGAACAGTAGTTTTAACCAGGGTTCAATCGAGTTTTTGGTGTTCGTTGGAGCTGTTCCGGAGTTTCGACAAAGGTCCTTTAAATTAAAACAGTTTTTTATTGTGGCACTTTTCTATCACATCGTCGTCAAATTATGCAAATTTAACTAGAGTTAATCTCAGATATTTAAACTTACACGTTCAACAACTAATAAATTAGCGTTGCTGTTTGTATAGTGTGCGCAGTTGTACGTTTTAGTGAACCCGTCATCTCCACGGATGTCGCGCGCTTGGGTGTTTGTGCTTATATGATAGTGCCCTTAGATGCTTTCTGCTTATGACTTTGAAACATCCAGGGTTGTTATGGAAAACCTAAGATTTCCATAATAAATCTTTTCATTTTCTATAACCTTGCACGAAATTAGGCTTCCCCTATATAAAGTTAGAATTGGGCTCCTAATTTCAACTGTTCAATACAATGGGGTTTGGCGAGAGCTTTCAGAATAGCGCAGGGGCTCGACAGGCTCGGAAAGATTAAGGTTAATTAGAATTTGAAAAATCACACAACATTACGTAGTATTATTATTTTTTTAATGTTGCCATTTCGCGAGAGTAGAAACAGACAGGTACAAATAAATTTGATGAAATATATATCCAATTCATATCGAATTATATTTTCTGTCATTCATAAACCCAAAACTTGACATAGTTCATATAGTTCACATAATGACATAATTTGAAAAATTACCTGTACATTCAAATTTTAACCCCCAAGTCGAAATTAGATCGAAATAATTAAATATTCTTCTGAAATTAATCAATTTTTGTAAAATTTACCGTCTTCGAATACCACATTGTGCCAGCACAACTTTTTGTTGAATAAGTATATTAGTGCTCAATTTATTGGAATATTCAAATCATTTTCCGCTAAGTCGGAAAAGTTCGAAATAGTTCTATATTTTTGAAAAAACTTATTGTGTTTCAAGTATAATACCACAATTGAGAATGTTTCTTAAGAAAAATGAGAGATTTGGGAAAACACCCCGCCATCTTCAAAATGACAAAATATTAGTTGTCCAGCTTGGGGTGGGATTCGGGTTAAGAATGATTTAAAAATTTGAAATCTGCATTCGTTTTTTTTTAAATCAATGAAATGGTCACTTCTAACTCTTTGATAAAGCGTAATAAATTGATAGATTTGATAAATTTTTTAGATCTTGATTTTGTCGTAACGATACGGATCAGTTTGTTCTTCATTAGGGCTTGTGTGTACTTTTGCAGAACAATGCTGTATTACACAATGGTATTTTGCGAAAATCTTAAGCTATGTGGTGAAGCGAGAAAAATGAACTGCAAAATTCTTGTTTCCTCATGTTCCATAGAAAACAGTTCCAAACAGGCTGGCAAGCCAGAAAATATCCAATTTACACTGCACACATGCCGAGTCATATTAATAAGGCCTTCGCTTAATCGTTTGTTCTTCTATTTTAGCTGATCCTCTGCTAATAGGTGGACATTTATAAATTTGTTTTGGTATCCCAAAGACATGACACTGTAATGTCGTTGTACCATACGTAGTTTGTCAAATAGCCGCGTTTTTATTACTTCAACTTGGTTCCAGTTTTAATGCTTGATTCAAATAAGCATAATTTTAAGTTGAAACACGTTCAAATATTAACTGAGGACAGCTAAACTAACCCAATATGCTAGGTTCATTTTGCAATAATATCGTCTGGCTTAAATATTAATTTTTAACAAATGTTCATATTACTATCGTGTATTGTTTACTTGTTTTATTTTATCATTAATTGCGGTATATTGGATTTTCATTTATTTCAATTTCGGTTGGAATGGTTAAAATGAGTTTTCTACCTTCTGCTTAAAACAAACATCAATGTCGTTGTACAGTCAGTGCTGGTCAAACGAAATTAAAAGGCTTTCGGAAATAGGTATCGGGTATCGGTAATATCGGCAAAATATTTGGTATCGGTATTCGTATCGATATCGGCTAGATGTAGACTGATATTTCCAAGATAATTAACTTTTTAATCTATTCCAGAAAAAAAAAAAGTAGGTTGAAATACTGATATGAAAATTATTTTTGGCTTTTCACAGTATTAGCCTCGTTAAGTATGAGCAATGCTGTTTCCCAACCGCACGAATAGAAACGAGAATAGGCCACCCACAGTAGCCAAACCCGATGAGTTTTCTAACCGAACACCGATATTATTAGCGTCAGTGTGCAATGTATTTAAACTAAAAAACGTATCTGGACCCAAAACATTAATTTCTTATTATCTGAAATATGTTTTTTTCAATCTGAAAAATTGTGTGGCATGAATAATGCTTGCAAACTGTTACTTTACTTATAGTTTGGACTGCACTCTTGAGATAATATTTACATAGCATGTAAACGTCGGCAATTTCTGCTTTAAAATATTGATATCGGCGTTTTATCGTTGTTGTCGAATCGGTATCGGCGACAAGTAGTATTGGTACATCCCTCATGTTGGAATCTCTAGTATAATGTAATAAACGTCAGTGTATTGTTTTAAATTGATATCCACCGCATGTGTTTTGTATCAAATGATACGTTGTAAAACAATGTACTCTCTTACTGCAAACATTAAAACTCGTATGATATCAAATAGCATCTCTTATTAGGCCATCTTAAGCGTGTAATTGGATACACATACTACTACTAAGATTCATTTCCTCATCTACAGACAAAGTTTAATTGTTTTATTCCGTATATATATTTGACCCGGGGTTATTTCGAAAGTTATCGGGAATTGTACTTTTGGTGAATGACCGCTCATAGACTACTCTCTTTGAGGCAATTTCATCTTCTGTTCGTGGGAAGAAAATAGTCATGTTGACGTAAACAAAATCTTGTATCATCTCATATTCTTGTTTGTTTATTATTATTTCGGTATTTCGAATCATTGCGAGTCTGCTATTTAAGAGTTAATTCCCATTAGAATTTTGTCGTTTTAGTAGTGTTAATTCAATTGCCGTAATAAATTGATTGTTGGCTTGTATTATATTTTGGTTAAATGGGTTCAATAATATTGCATAAATTTATGTTGCTATTGTTTGCATCTTTCGGAATTAAGTATGTTGTCGACCTACTTAGGTTGGTCGTAAACTTTAGCAACCCTATATATTAATAGTTTGGCTTCTACATTATGCGTTTCACACATATTATATGTTTTTTCGTACTTTGTTTATGTAGACTGTATATTTCATTGCCAGTAATAAACTCCCAATCATATTCAAAGTTGTGAAGTTGTTAATATCGAGAAAACTGGCAGGTTATAAGTCTAAGGTAGTTGATGACGCGCAGCGTCACCGCCCAACACGTTATAGGCGTCTTGTAGAGCCTCATCATACGGAATAAGTTGCTCATAATTTACTTCCTTTACTATAAAAATTCATAATAACTAAATGTATATATATTTTTACAGGATTCCTCAATTAAGAAACTTGACGACTCTTTCTGTTTTTCAAAAGAAAATAAAACTCAATTATTCAAATAGGAAGAAGAGTTTTATTAAAGATAACTAAGATATGCTAACCAACAAATGCATTGAGTCCACACACAAGACTTTGATATAAAAAAGTCACTGTTTGTTTGAGACTGTATCCCATTGCCATACGTACTTTAAGCTCATATGCATGTGCACGGATTACCAATATGTGGTAGCAAACAAATGCATTGGGCAGCACACGCAAATGCCTTTATATCAAATAAGAATGTTGTTTAAAGCTATACCAAAATGCCATACACACTGTAAAAGGATTATATGCGAAAGTTTAACATGTGTCAACTCGTAAGGAACTAACTATTTGTGTATTCTGAATAATTGCAAACGGATTCTTGATTGTATATTTATTAATGAATTGAATCATAGCTCAGAAAACTAAAAACAGTTATTATTTGTATTTTAACATCCTGCAATGTAATCCTGTATTTGATGTACTGGTATGAAAAATTTAAAATAATTCTTTCGTTTTACGTTATTCTTAAATTTTTATTACTGTTATTATATGTTACTGATTTGTGATTTATATTATTGTTTATCACTGATATTGTATATTTTTGATAAGCTTTTTTGTAATATGCTGTTTCCATATTTCGCTATCTTTTTCGCCGTAGTCATTATTCTCTATTGTATTTTTTGAGATATTTTCAACAGGAAAACAAGATATCGTGACAACGACAAAGGAAGAAAAATATTAACAGGGATTGCCATGGCCTTTTTTAATATTTTTTTCATTGTAGATAGATTTAGACCCATCCCCGCCATTAGGGATAATAGGGATTTTATTAGGCTTAGATATTTTTAATGTTATTCTAGTTTCTCAGGCACAGAACTATGAAGACACTGGAAAAATTGAGAAAATACGGATACAAGGAAAATCCACAAACTACATGTAAATATTTTTTCGAATTTTATCAGGCTTGGATATTTTGAATGTTATTCTAGCTTCTCAGGCACACAACTATGAACCCACTGGGAAAATCAAGAATAGACGGATAGAAGGAAAATCTACAAATTACATGTAAATATTTTTCGAATTTTATGAGGCTTAGATATTTCAATGGTATTCTAGCTTCTCAGGCACAGAATTATGAAGAAGTAAGAAAAGACTGAAACAAGGAAACAATGAAGAAATTAGGAAAAGACTGAAACAAGGAAAATCTACAAATTAAATGTAAATATTTTTACAAATTTTATTAGGTTTAGATATTGTTAATATTATCTTAGCTTCTCAGGCTCAGAATTTTGAGGACACTAAGGAAATTGCAAGGAGACGGAACCAGAGACAAATCTAAAATACCGGTAAATATGTTACATTTGACAGGCTTACTCCTTCCATCTAGTGTTCATTTTGATTTTAGTTCGATATAATATTTTTCTGATTATATTAATACTGATACAATAATGCACCAAGTATTATGTTTATTGCTGGCATTTAATATTTATTAATAAGCTCTTTTAGTAATATGTTGTATCCATACATGCCTATCTTATTTGTCATAATCATTGTTTTCTCTTCTATTTTTGAGATATTTTCAACTGGAAACGATATCGTGACACCGACAAAAGAAGAAAAGTATTAACAGGGCTCGCCATGGCTTTTTTGTTTTTAATATTTTATTTGTTATGATAGATTTAGATTCATTCCCCCCATTAGGAATACCCGCCTTTAGGAATAATAGAGTTTTTATTAGGCTTAGATATTTTTAATGTTATTCTAGCTTCTCAGGCACACAACTATGAAGACACTGGGAAAATCAAGAAAAGACGGATAGAAGGAAAATCTACAAATTACATGTAAATATTTTTCGAATTTTATGAGGTCTAGATATTTTTAATGGTATTCTAGCTTCTCAGGCACAGAATTATGAAAAAGTAAGAAAAAGACTGATACAAGGAAACAATGAAGAAATTAGGAAAAGACTTAAACAAAGGAAAATCTACAAATTGAATGTAAATATTTTTCGAATTTTATGAGGCTTAGATATTTTTTATGGTATTCTAGCTTCTCAGGCACAGAATTATGGAGAAAGTAATAAAGAGACTGATACAAAGAAACAATCAAGAAATTAGGAGGAGACTGAAACAAGGAAAATCCACAAATTGAATGTAAATATTTTTACAAATTTTAATAGGCTTAGATAATATCATCTTAGCTTCTCAGGCACGAAATTTTGAAGTCACTGAAGAAATTGAAAGAAGACGGTACCAGAGACAAATCTAAAATACCGGTAAATATGTTACATTTGTTTCACTAGGCAGGCTTACTTTATTTTTGTTTTGTTTTCAATATTTTATTTGTTATTAATAGCTTTAGATTCATTCCCCAAATTAGTAATACCCACCATTAGAAATGATAGGGTTTTTATTAGGCTTAGATATTTTTAATGTTATTCTAGCTTCTCAGGCACACAACTATGAAGACACTGAAAAAGTCAAGAAAAGACTGATAGAAGGAAAATCTACAAATTACATGTAAATATTTTTCGAATTGTATAAGGCTTAGATATTTTTATTGGTATTCTAGCTTCTCAGGCACAGAATTATGAAGAAGTAAGAAAAAGACTGATACAAGGAAACAATGAAGAAATTAGGAAAAGACTGAAACAAGGAATATCTACAAATTGAATGTAAATATTTTTACAAATTTTATTAGGCTTAGATAATATTTTCTTAGCTTCTCAGGCACAGAATTATGAAGAAGTAAGAAAAAGACTGATACAAGGAAACAATCAAGAAATTAGGAGAAGACTGAAACAAGGAAAATCTACAAATTGAATGTTAATATTTTTATAAATTTTATTAGGCTTAGATAATATTATCTTAGCTTCTCGGGCACAAAATTTTGAAGTCACTGAAGAAATTGAAAGAAGATCGAACCAGAGACAAATCTAAAATACCGGTAAATATGTTACATTTGTTTCATCAAGCAGGCTTACTTTATTTTTTTTTATTTTTAATATTTTATTTGTTATAGATAGATTTAGATTCATTCCTCAAATTAGGAATACCCGATAGATTTAGATTCATTCCCCAAATTAGAAATACACGCCATTAGAAATAATAGGGTTTTTATTAGGCTTAATATTTTTAATGTTTTTCTAGCTTCTCAGGCACACAACTATGAAGACACTGAAAAAGTCAAGAAAAGACGGATAGAAGAAAAATCTACAAATTCCATGTAAATATTTTTCGAATTTTATGAGGCTTAAATATTTTTAATGGTATTCTAGCTTCTCAGGAACGGAATTATGAAGAAGTAAGAAAAGACTGATACAAGGAAACAATGAAGAAATTAGGAAAAGACTGAAACAAGAAAATCTACAAATTGAATGTAAATATTTTTACAAATTTTATTAGGCTTAGATAATATTATCTTAGCTTCTCAGGCACAGAATTTTGAAGGCACTGAAGAAAGTGAAAGAAGACGGAACCAGAGAAAAATCTAAAATACCGGTAAAAATGTTACGTTTGTTTCATTAGGCAGGCTTACTTTTTTATTTAATGTTCATTTCGATTTTAATTGGATATAATATTTTTTTCTAATTATATTATTACTGATATAATAATGCACCAAGTATCATGTTTATTGCTGGCATATAATATTTAATAATGAAGCTCATTTTAATACTACGCTGTATCCATACTTGCCTATCTTATTTGTCATAATCATTATTTTCTCTTCTATTTTTGAGATATTTTCAACTGGAAACGATATCGTGACACCGACAAAAGAAGAAAAGTATTAACAGGGCTCGCCATGGCTTTTTTGTTTTTAATATTTCATTTGTTATAGATAGATTTAGAATTCTTTACCCCCATTAGGAATACCCGCCATTAAGAAGAATAGGGTTTTTATTAGGCTTAGATATTTTTAATGGTATTCTAGCTTCTCAGGCACACAACTATGAAGACACTGGAAAAAATCAAGAGAAGACGGATAGAAGGAAAATCTACAAATTACATGTAAATATTTTTCGAATTTTATGAGGCTTAGATATTTTTTTTATGGTATTCTAGCTTCTCAGGCACAGAATTATGAAGAAGTAAGAAAAGACTGATACAAGGAAACAATCAAGAAATTAGGAGATGACTGAAACAAGGAAAATCTACAATTTGAATGTAAATATTTTTACAAATTTTATTAGGCTTAGATAAAATTATCTTAGCTTCTCAGGCACGAAATTTTGAAGTCACTGAAGAAATTGAAAGAAGACGGAACCAGAGACAAATCTTAAATACCGGTAAATATGTTACATTTGTCTCACTAGGCGGCTTACTTTATTTTTGTTTTGTTTTTAATATTTTATTTGTTATAGATAGCTTTAGATTCATTCCCCAAATTATTAATACCCGCCATTAGAAATGATAGGGTTTTTATTAGGCTTAGATATTTTTAATGTTATTCTAGCTTCTCAGGCACACAACTATGAAGACACTGAAAAGTCAAGAAAAGACGGATAGAAGGAAAATCTACAAATAACATGTAAATATTTTTCGAATTTTATGAGGCTTAGATATTTTTAATGGTATACTAGCTTCTCAGGCACGGAATTATGAAGAAGTAAGAAAAGATTGATACAAGGAAACAATGAAGAAATTAGGAAAAGACTGAAACAAGGAAAATCTACAAATTGAATGTAAATATTTTTACAAATTTTATTAGACTTAGATATTGTTAATATTTTCTTAGCTTCTCAGGCACAGAACTTTGAAGGCACTGAAGAAAGTGAAAGAAGACGGAACCAGAGAAAAATCTAAAATACCGGTAAATGTGTTACATTTGCTTCATTAGGCATCATTAGGCAAGCTAACTTTTTCATTTAGTGTTCATTTCGATTTTAATTGGATATAATGTTTTTTCTAATTATATTATTACTGATACAATAATGCACCAAGTATCGTGTTTATTGCTGGCAATTATTTAATAATAAAGCTCTTTTTATTACTATGCTGTATCCATACTTGCCTATCTTATTTGTCATAATCATTATTTTCTCTTCTATTTTTGAGATATTTTCAACTGGAAACGATATCGTGACACCGACAAAAGAAGAAAAGTATTAACAGGGCTAGCCATGGCTTTTTTGTTTTTAATATTTTATTTGTTATAGATAGATTTAGATTCTTTACCCTCATTAGGAATACCCGCCATTAGGAAGAATAGGGTTTTTATTAGGCTTAGATATTTTTAATGGTATTCTAGCTTCTCAGGCACAAAACTATGAAGACACTGGAAAAATGAAGAAAAGACCGATAGAAGAAAAATCTACAAATTACATGTAAATTTTTTTCGAATTTTATGAGGCTTAGATATTTTTAATGGTATTCTAGCTTCTCAGGCACAGAATTATGAAGAAGTAAGAAAAAGACTGATACAAGGA